TAAGTGGTCCAAATTGATGCTACCTATTTCCTACTATTCCAGTTCAATCTTTTTTTTTTGGGTCGTTATTAAATTTATCAATATTTCTGTAAGAAAGATTTAGAGTGAAATAGATAAACGCTTGCTTAGGTATCTGTTCGTAAAGTACACAGAATGTACATATTATTCACTCTAGGTGTTCGTCTTAGGGCTCACATAACACTAAATAAAGTATGATATAAAACTTAAGAAAGTATGTGATAACTTAAATTAAATCAAATGATTTATTTAAAAAATCAAGTATCATCATTTCTCTATCGTAATGCTAACACTTAATACTGGCACATTATTCTCTTGTTGTTGGGAACCGAAGTAACGTGTGCATCATTCTCCAAAACCAACAAAATCTGAACATTGTACACCTATGATTTGATGAGCCACCTAGCGATTGATTCATTGTGCTCTTGCAGGACGCTGTTCATGGTTATTTACAGATCACGACCGGTGCTTATCCATGGTATATGTACCGTCGGCATCGTCAGCGCGTTCTAGGACTGTCGTGGTTAAAATGCTTTTCGGGAACGATCTGAGACATTCTGCGGTATTCAAAGCGTGAAGATACGACGTCTTTATTTACCATGAATTACATTATGTACATATATTAAACGTCAACTAGGTTGAGTTATACCCTAAAACGGCCTAATTTTGTTGGCCATCTTATCAATTAGCAATCGACGGAGCGGTCGCTCTGGCGCAGTGAAGTAATCACGTTTCTATCTTTTGAATTTCTATTAGTAATAACGGTCTCCGTAAATAGTAAATAAATTAGTAAATACTCGTTTCGTTTACTGCCCGCTTCCTTCCATCGTATGAAGTGGTATTACTATTCGCAATAGCCGCTTATAAGCCAAGTGAAAGATCTAAAAGGAAACTAGCAGGGAGAAATAAGAAAAACACGGCACATAGATATTTCAACACGGAACTTTAATGAATATTGGGTTGTGTCTTTACCATCAATCGATTAACAATTTTTTTTTTTTTTTTTTTATAAAATGCAAAAGACACCAGTTATTTGGCTCTTCAATCTTTTTTTTTCATTTGCCCGCTTATTTGCGCCACGTTTTCGACCCGTAAACGTCTCAGAAATGCTGAACTTTTGATTGTCACCAGGTTTACAACCAACGTTCTCTTGTTAACCGGTTAACCGCGTACAAGTACAGCTAACGGACTTCATTTGAAGCACCCTCAGACACCTGACTTGTCCTAGTGAAAAGCATGGGTTTCCATCTGTATTGGGCCTTCTCAAGGTCCACTTTCCCAATAAGCATTACAAGTCATCTGAGTCCAGATAGTAGAGAACTTCAGAGTTCCTGTCTCAAACGGAACCCATCACTTTAGAACCATGCGCTTGATAAATGTTAACAATTTGCGTACCGATATTTTATTAAAAACTAACGCCCTTAAATATCGACAGTTCCTTTTTTGGCCTTTTTTAAACATAACTCTGTAACCACTTCTGAAATTTCAATAAAGTAAATACTCAAGACTCAATATTGCCGTCCTTGCCTGAACTAGAAAATGTTTGTGCTCGAGTTAATCGAAGAAATCGACATAAGCGCGCAGTTCTATATATATATATTATTAATGATTGTTGATCGGCGTTGATTTCCTCAGCTTCCCCAGTTTGAACGATCCGCTCGATTATTCATTGCCATCCAGCAAAAAACGTTCCATGGAACACGGCATCTAATAGTAACTGTAAGAAAAATAGTGATGGTCGTAAATTGTATATAGCTCCATGTTAACTAAGCACGATCGATGCTTTTAGTTGATAACAGCGACAAAATTCATAGTAGACGTTTTGCTGGTCTAGGCTATGCCGCGTACCTGAGCATCGCTATCAGTCAGGAATGATTCGCTTAAAAAGTACAAAGCCGAAAGAACTCCGGCAACCGGCTACTAGCGTTTGCGGAACAATTTACAGAACGTAAAATAAAAACGTGTAACATAAAGGCGAAGAGTTGATACTTTTGTGTTTTCACCCCTTACGGCGTCCTCATCTGCCGTTTCAACTTTTTGACTCGGTTATTGTTTTCGGTTTACCGCCTAATTGGGACCTGGACATTTGACACATCCCCATGTACTTGAGTAGTCGAGAAGCGTCGATGGCGGGTTCTCTGACCATTTCCACATTATAGCGGATTAAGGACGACAGAAAACGTTTATATCCTTTGTTCATCGATGCAGGCCTTTTCACAAGTCCTTGTTTGCTATGGCTGCTTTTTACCGTTGCTTCTTGTTGCGTTTAATTGCTCATTTTTTTAAAATATATTTTAAAGACAAATATTGATAATGATCATCAAGCTCCGCTAAATAGAACAGCACGATTTGTGAAGATTCTACTGATCACATGAGATTATAACATGTGCTTATAGAATTGCCAGGTTACAAATGCTAGCATCGACGTTGGCCCTGTTCAGCTGACTGGGTTTTCAATAGTCTACTCGGTGGTATGGCAATCGTTTCGTCGATAAGTGTAACAAACCCTGGAAGAAAACCTGCACCATTTTTATCTAATTCTGTCACACTTATGCGGAACGATCGAAGGTCGTCTTACTTTACGATTGGATTATATAACTTTATGATTGATATTACTATGGTGAAATCAAATTATTATGATTGGTAAAATAGAACGAGAAACATAAATATTAAACTGATTGAAATATCTAATTGAAACAACACAAAATAGAACTTAGTAGGAACAATACACCACTGAGCAAGTTAGTCTATAAGATAGAATCTGTCGTGTGAGGCACGGTTTATATATGAGGCACATTATAGGCACACCCTATTTACAGGATCGTGCTAAGTGGACCATGTTGCGAGCCCTTGTCCAGCTGCTAACGGGCTTAAATGAGTCAAAACAGGCCTTGTGTAACAAAAACGATGCTGCTAGCGAAATTTACCCTTTGGTTATTGTTTCCATATTAGATTAAAGTTGCTTGGTTAAATCAGGAAGTAAATTGCATCGACGATTAGGAATCGTTCATTATTTTTCATACCATTTTGAGACCTATATTATCCATAAGTGCACCAGTGTACTATAGAGTAGTATCTGTAGATCATTGAATCAGCTGACATTCTGCTTTTACGTCTTTTGCAGCTATTGGTTCTATTCTGAACGGGTTCATTGGCAGATTGATGGACTTTTTATTGCGTTAGTGCAGAAAGTGTGAGCGATTTACGCTGTACGTCAATGTTAAACAGATGGTTAAATTACGGCATTCTGATGGGTTGATAAATGTGACGAAGCGTAGTTACAATAAGGACGTCAGTGCCCTTAGCACAATAGAAAAGTATATTTTCAATCTATTGCTAACTACCTGTTCCCTAATTGAGAACCGATGCGGCAGAAATTAATGTTTTCAACTTTTATGTCCAATATTGCTATTAAGCACTGTCTTTTAAACGTACGTAGTATTTCATTTGTAGAAAGGATATCGAGATAACGAGACAACGGCAAATCTTGTGAGGTTTGGGTTCAGGCTTCAATGCGCAGGACTTCGAGCTTGCCCGAAGCCTTTCTCTCAATAGAATCTCTTACGCTTAGATTATCCTAAAATAATATTTCTTTATACATGATTGAAACAATGCTTAATTGTCCAGTTGTTAAACAAACATTTCTATTGTTAACTATCTGACGATCGACTTACGGAAAGGCGTCGGCTTTTCTTAAAAAGTATATATAAAAGCTGAAGATAGCCAATACGAAATGTTAGTTGTCCGATAACCCGTTCCGCATTAAAGTTAAAATGCTGATTCTTTGTACTCGCACAAAAGGATATAGAGCCCGTTTCGCACTCAGTTGTCCAGCAAATCGGATCTAGCCCTATAAACTTCGAAAATTGAATCCTGCTCATTTTCGATCCTGGGCAGCTCCTTCAGGATACTCTGCGTACATGTAGATGTTTGGCTTAACTAATTGGCCTAGCGAAAAAAAAACAGCTCATTATGTTCCTAACTGATAGGGGCCAGGTGGTGAAAGCTCGAGAAGTTAACTGGCAATCTAAATTTTCGTTTTTAAGGCGCTGCACGATTTATGGGGGCTAAACTAAACATAGTCCAGCTATCAGTTGAGCTGCATCAACTAAAAGAATATAACTTTTTTACTAGCATATTACAGTTATTTATGAACTTTATTATTAGGTTTATTTGATTATTAGGTCGACTTTCTTCGCCCGCCAGCGACCGGTAATACATCATCACTGTTTGAATGCCTTCTTCATATGATTGCTTTTATAAAATTAAGATAGATAGCTTTACGAGATCGTCATCATCTGCGGCCCTAGACCGCTCCTGCGGCAGTTAGTACGAAACAACGTTTAGCTTTGTCCTATTTAGCTAATGTAATATCCTATATTGATATATTAGGTCGATCCTTGTGTATCTGAGCCAGCCACCTCGACTAAGGAACGTCACGCAGGCGCAGGGGTGCATGTTCCATCCATGATTTCTGCCGAATGGTGCATGTTTTCATAACGCAAGCTTGTTGCAAACGAAACAAGGTCCAAAAAAAATAAGCGTAGGATTTCTTTAACTCAATATAATTCATGCGGGAGTTTCCCCGCAACGAGTTCCTTCAAATTGTGCTAGTAGTTATGGCGGGGTATCTATTTCTTCAAAAATCAAACAGCGAAGTAATCAACTATTATGAAACAACGTATAGATCATGCAAGCGCCATTCGAGAAGTCCGATTTGAGATTTTTTTTACCATTTTTCCTTTCATCATAATAAGATACGTTTGCACCCAAGCTAACAATCGACTGGGACGCTTATTTGGCTTGTTGTTGCTGTTGTTGTTGTTGTTGCTGTTGTTGTTGTTGTTGTCGTTGCTGTTGTTGTTGTTGTTGTCGTTGTTGTTGTTGTTGTTGTTGTTGTTGTTGTTGTCGTCGTCGTCGTCGTCGTCGTCGTCGTCGTCGTCGTCGTCGTTGTTTTTGTTGTTGTTGTCGTCGTCGTCGTCGTCGTTTTTGTTGTTGTTGTTGTCGTCGTCGTCGTCGTTTTTGTTTTTGTTATTATTTACTAATTAATGGTAACAAAAACCTTCCACGGGTGTCATGTGCACCATAGTCGACATTTTGTCCTAAATTTTGCTTATTAAAACTATCCTGATAACTTTTTGTTCATATGATTTGTAATGAATTACGTGATTTCACGTCTGTCATGTTATCATAAACCTTATAAGGGTTGATTCCTTAAAGTATCAATTTTTTCCCCTTTATCCACTCCTTATGAAGAAGTGGTGGTAGAAAATGGCGAATTGTTAGCTAATTAGTCACTAAGTAAATCATGAACTACCAGTCAGGGTGTACAAGAAAATTTCCATACGGGATTGTTGAGACTGCAACATGCACCATCCGTGGCCGATAAGCAATCATCAAATTTACTTATCGTTCTTGTTAACATGACCTGAACGAACGTCGAAAATTTCAAACAAATTTTTAAGAGTGTCCTCAAAAAACACTAATTTATCCGCCGACTCTCACAGTACGATCGAAATAAAAATATATATATATATATATATATGACGTGATACTTACAGCAATCTCTTTACCACTAGCACGCCGAAATTGAATACTGATGTATATTAAATTTTTTTAAACGTGTATTTATATTCGTGTGTATTTATATACAGCCGTGCTTCCACAGTGTATATGACGAAAAAGGTGGTCCAGCGAAAAGTAGATTTGCGCCACTTTAACAATACAAGCGTTTCCTTCCTTAATGATGGATCCATTAGGTTACAACTACAATGAATGAGTTACTTGGCAGATATACAAACTAAGAGCCCCTCATTGTAAAGCCCTATGACTGTCTATATTAGTTCGATGGTGCAGCTGTATGGAACAGGCAATTTGAGGTTCTAAATTAGTTAAGATATCAGATCACTCGAAGTTTAATGGTAGCCGTGCTTCAGATACCACGCCTGCCCACCACAGACATCACGCTACCATAGTTCGCCACCGTCCATTTGTCACCTGCGAAGTAATCCCTAGCAGCCGATCCCTGCTGATCATCGCGACGCAACACACCGAAAGGTCCTCGGACTATGAAATCATCTTCGTCATCTTTCATCTGTATTATAATGTTAAACAAACAAACAAACAATGTTTGTCGTTACATACATTTTTCCTCATTCGTGTGAATCAGACACTACTGCCGAGGAGCTTGTCTGGCCCCCTAGCGATCCCGCTCAGCCCTGGGCTCCGGATGTTGAAATCTAACTTCGTAACCGATTCTAGCACTATTCCAAACTAAGATTTTCGTATTTCTATTAATCTTAAGCAGCGGTATAAACATTCATACGGGAAAGCATAAATACAGATGGTTCAGTTTGACCACCCCGTCCGCATATCGGCGATCAAAGCGTGCAGATAGATATAACAGAGAGATTTAGAAGAACAAAGAAGCTGCTCACAGGAGCCAGATTTATTTAATACGTACTGCTACAGTTGGTGAAAGTTGGAAACTGCTAAACACTTCCTTTTGACGAATAAATTCACTCTGAAAAGAGAACGTAGCATAGGATTCCGATGAGATGCCTTATGCCCACAAGATCACTCAAGACAGTATAACGGCGTTTTGGAACCATCGCTTCGATATTCGTTCGAACAGTGTTCACGGACCCCGGCCTTTGCGACATTTGCCAAAATCTTCCTCCATCATGAAATTTGCAAATAATTTGCATTTACGATCTGCAAGCAATCTATAAAAGATAATCAATACAAGAAATTATCTAAGAAAACTCACTGGGGCGAAGTGCTGCAGAGTCCGTTCCTGTAAAGGGGTTGAAGTGTGTAGAGGAGATGACGTAATCATCTGAATAGAAACCAATTAGTAGCCAATATGCTTACAGATCTGTATTGAAAACGAACGATCGTGTATGCCCTTAATTTTTAGGAATCGATAAAGCCAGAAACATGGAAATGTACCGCAAACAAAATTCTATCTGTTATAGGAAAATTTTTGCTTAACACTATAGATTGCCTTGGGCGTGTGTGAGAACTTATGACTGCTTGTTGCTAAAATGTTGTACAGTTTATTAGAACAGCGCCACAGAAGAATCACTCGGATATTCTTCCATTTCAAAGAAAGGGTGCTTTCCCCTTGTCTAAGAGAAAACACCGTCAAAAATGCTCCCAGTTTATGCTGTGACATTACAGTATGGGACAAATAATGTCGGCCAACAAAATAGGGAAAAGGTGGTTTGGGTTCAAAAACGAGCGCAGGCACATTCTGAGAAAGGCCGGCGATTTGGAACGATCCTTAATCACCGTATCGGATCTAGAAACTCGGAACATCACAGCATGGCATCGGCTCGCATGCATACGTCCGACCAGTGATATACCAATGCTAAAATGACGCTAAGTAGAAAATGTTACCGTATTATTGATTGGTTGCTTGTTCCACAAACCTGGCCAAAGGTTGCAGCACTCGAGGCTGGTAATTGTGAATTTCGATTAGCTGGTGGCCTCTGAACACACGTTGGCGTCTCTATGGCAGATGAGCTAATAGACCCATATCCGTGATTGGCTTGAGCCGGACCAAGATTTTCAGAGCTTCCACAGCTGCCCAAACTCGTGAAGTTTGCAACACTGCCGTACCTGCCCTGTGAACGTTTAAAAAGTAATCGTCACTATGAAATGCGAAAGGTTACGAACATTATAATAACAATGGACCGTTTTATCATTTGTGATCTACTGACGGCTGTGCCCTCCGTTTCATTGAGGTCGGCTAGACTCTTCGGGGTCGACGGGAACGTGCTGGCCGCGACGCCCGAGCCCTTAAAACCGCTCAAGTAATTTGCCTGTGAATCGAAACCGATGCGTTATATAATATAAATAAAATAAAAAACTCGCTATCTCCATCGTGCTTGAAAAATGAATCTCAATAAAGGAAGCTATCAGCTAAGTTCATACTCTTTCAGTGACAATAAAATCAAATATATTCAGCTGTACTATGAATTAATAAAAGTGATACTGCCCATACGTGTATTGTCTCTACTATTAAAATTCGTAGAATGTTGTATTTTTTACTAAAATAATGTCTCAGGCCTGTTTTAAACAAATCTTTAAAATAGTCTTATCCGTATAGGCACATCTCCTCCCAGAAACTCATAATCCACACATGTAATGACTTTATAATGTACCAGATACATGTATCGCCATTAGCGCAAATATGTCGTCATGACCCTCTAGAGCGAACGCTTCGTGCGCGTTATTTCTCCGTTTGTTTTCGCGCACCTGGCTCGAGGCTGGAGTGGCCAAGCTGGTCGAGACAAAAGAGCTTCGATTCACTGACGGCGTTCGAATCGATGTCGTGCTGACGGCCTCCACGCGTGGTAAGTCCCGAAATGTCATTGGGGTTACAAAGCCTGATTCCGGGACCTCTTCCACAGCATTGACATTTTCGAGACTCGGGTGACTTGCAAGACTTCCTAAGCTTGCGAGACTTGCTAGACTGTCGTACAGTCCCTAATAAATTACCACACGCCGAATATGTTTATATTAGAATATTTAGTGAAGTGTTCACTATAGGTTACGCCATAAATAAATACTGATAATGAATAGCGTCGATGTTTTTCGGGCTGCCCAAGCGGTCCTTTCGCCAATAGAGACTGGCGTCTTTTATAAATAAAGCGAATAGGAAGCAGAATTTTCTGGATCTCTAAAAATCGCGGTCATTCCAATAGCTTAGCGCTAGTCGCCATTACTGCGATCAAGTTGCAACTATCAGTCATATAAAATATAATTTCAGGAGCTATTTGAGAACTATCTTGGTAACACGTGTCAACGGAAACGGCAAATTAAGTAAGAGTACGGTATACCGAGGCATCAGAGGGGTAATTGGACGAGGCAGATTGCGCACTTCGTGGAGTTTGGTCGTAGATCTGGTAACCGCCATAAGCCAATGACTGTTCAGCAAGTATACGCTGATCACGATAATCTGCATATATCGATTTGGGTTGATTAGTGACTACGATTCAAGAAGACAAAGAAACCCAGTTTTAATTAACGTTGACCAATTTCTCGTGTGGTGAATAGCCAATACGCTCGAGGCTAATATTAACGTATTTGACAAAAATCGCTCATTTTGCTTCCATAACGGAACATGTGTACGCACGTTTGGGCTTACTCGTGGGTGTCTCGTGACTAGAGACTATTGATTAGTTTGTAACTACGAGACAGCAAATGCACGGAATGACATCAAATGTTCCATGTTACCCTGTGCATCGATGGGCAGTTGATTGTGTTGTTGATCAGTCCTTGTCTAAGGATTTCTATAAGCAATGGAATCATTGCAGCTCTGAATGTAATAACAAGTATGTATGGACATCATTGAAAACCTAGTGTATAGCAAAGGCTGAGTAGCCAAGAGTCCTCACCTCCTGTATTTAGGCCATGATAATGGTAAATGGGTTGAGAAGTTGGACAGTGCCTAGTAAAGTAGGTTGATCTCGAAATGGTTGCAGTGTCGAAATCATCGCCTATTTCAGGCTCGGATTTGTGCGTAGGTAAATGATGCGAGCGTTGTGACGTCTCAACCAAAAGTCGGTGTTTGTCTAATGACCTTATTGCGTCATGATAACTGTAATAGAATTACGATGGCATACTGTGAGTGAAACAATGAATACATGTTGTATATTACTACGAACAATTGCTTGTCTCATCGATGTCAGTCGCAGGTAAGACTCATATATTCTAAAGAGGAACTGTGACCTTTAGAATAATTAGGGAAATTCCAACGATCAAAAGAAAATTTAGAAAAAATTCACAGTCTGTGAAATAAACAAATATGCTTGGTAGACATTTGGTGTTAAGGTAGCCAAAATCTGGGTAAAACTCTCTCTAGAACGAGCCTTTCTAGAGCTTTGGCCACTGTTACAGGCCAGACTGATACACGAATGATTACTTAAATATTTCCAGTAGCGTAATAATCATAATGGTTATCCATTTACTGTGGTTTATTATCTATGATTTACCGTAGTGGTGGGCCTGTTTTAGTTATAGCTTCCTGCACAAAATGGATAGAATTGACGTCCAACCTGCCTAGTGCTCGATACACGTCTACAAGGAGTGTCAAGTACTTTTCTGGACCGTGCACAGCGATCTTCCATTGACGCGAGTCTCGATTTAGCTTCAAGTTGAGTGTAATGTCATAATCTTCTAGCATTTGATTCAAGCTCGAAACTCGTTGGGTCACTTCTCTCAGGTCTGGTTTAAAGGCCGACGCACAAAAACAGCACGGGAAAGAAACAACATAAATGAGGCTATAAGAGAGAAAAATATGCAGTATTCACGAGACAGTTTGTAGAAGCCCCATTTCAGGCAGGGAAATCGCCCCATTTCCCTACTCAAATAAGTGATGATTTCAAGCGGCCCGCGGGTTTTTCACCTCACCTGCTATGTCCTCTTGTGAGGGCCTAGGCATTTCAACCAATGTGGTGGCTGGTAGTAGGTCCAGAACGTGCATCCAGGCCTTAAACACGTCGTCAATCTGTCCATAGATGCGAATTGTTGGGATGTGGTATTGCCGATCTTCACGGTTAGTAATCACCTGGAACTGTGTGTTGGTGAGTGCCATCAAATATCGGACCTTTACATCGTTGCGACCGAGAACGAAGCTGAGGTAATGCAGTGACACCTCGATCCCCGAAGAGACGGGAGGTAGTTGTCTGTTCGGTCTTAAAATTTCCATTAGTCGCGTGAGGCCTTCTCGGATACCTTCGAAATTGTTTCGGGCTCCTCGAACGGTGACCATTATACAACCGTTCGACAATATCTGATAACTTATCGACATGCTATATTCGTTCTGCAATGCCTGTAAAATAGCACCCAAGGTAGGAAGAGAGAAATTAAGCGTAGGCACTCGCGCGTCGAGGGCGATGCAAAATCAATATAAACAGTATTAGCATAATAACTACCGCGGAAGTGATCAAATAAACGAGAAATATGGCCATTTGGTGCAGGCGTGACTGACTTTCCATTCTAATGATTTTTCATCATCAAACTACTGATACATAACTGAAGTCATTATTCTCAAATCTGAGTAGGGTGTTATCATCAGAAATTGTTACGACATGATACGCTTCAATACATTTCAATACAAAGCCAAGCAACAAAACCGTTTGCCAGATGGTAAGCAAATGAAGCAGGAAATAACTGATTCGCTAATCTACCTTAAGAGATATATAATTTAGAGGTAGATCTCGAATTTGATTAAACGTGAAAAAAGCAAAACCAAAGCTGAATCTCCATTTAAGAAAAATCGGCGGCGTCAGCTGGTGTCACTTATTTGCTGTAACTATACAAACACATAAATGTTAATTATATTTTATATGGGCATTTACCTCAAAGCGCTTTCTAAGCTTGGCAAGAATTTTCTGTTCGTTTCCGCCACAGTGACCCACAACTTTAATATAATCAGCTTTTTCCAATAAGAACATGAAAGATATCGGCAAACGGTCGCGGAGCATCCTGCGTGCTTTGAGTACCTGTTCAGGCGAGCCTGACACTGAAACCTGCATAAAGAAAAATTACATGCGCTAATAGAAAGCCACCTTCTGCTGAAATCGTTCGAGAACGATATGCAGATAAGTATGTCTGTCTGTGTAGTATTTTTTTTCTCTAAGAATCATCATAAAAATACCTGATTGCTTTTTTTCATTTTGCTGTTCCGGTTTGAATCGGGAAAGTGGACAAGGGTCCCGGTGGCGCGCATCACCGTCTTTGAACCCTTTCCGTCACGGCCAATGATAAACGAATGGACGGCAAATGATACATCTAATTTGAGCGTCATCTGTTCTGCCCCGTTAACCTGGGTTTATAGATTTTCCAATTAGCAGATCAATTATATTGCAGAATACGTTTATTTAACGTTATAATGTAGTGTGGATGACTTAACGAGCTCAGTTGATTATTATTGAATTTTTATCTAAACAGGTTTTATACTGCTGTACTAATATTCTTATATGTCGAAGAGTAGCAGGATAAGTCTACGTTACGTAGGTCCCGAGTGTTGTGTACGCCACAACCGCCATTGACTAATTTTCGACTGAGAAAAGAATTCTCAACTCTTCTTTTAAACTTTACTTCAAGTCTTTAGTTAACTAAATATCATAAGTTCATAATATGAAAGTTAATTTTCACATGTGGAAAATGTATCGTTAACAGCGTCATCTTTTGTAGCAATATCTGAAGTTCGAATAACTTCTGCCAAGTTGAATAGAAAGAGCGTAGTTGAAAAAAAAAAAGTAAATCGTTCATTGAGTCAGCAGTTGCCTTTAGTTAGCTACGGCTATAAATAAAAGTAGTTCACTTTTATATGGCTTCAATCACCGTTCGAACTTACATTATAATTCAGTATTTTAAAAATTTCTTGACAAGCGTTGCTAACGTGTTGTTGAGATCCAACAATTCGGAGTAAATATTCACGTCGGCTTTTAGGCTGTCTCTGCGGCGTCTGCTGTACTGGCTGTGTCTGGCAATCGGTAAAACAGTTCGAAACAGTTTGGTATTGACGATCGAAATCTTGATACAAAATCTCGATTTGCGTACCACAAAGTTTCGTTAACTCGCGTATCATCGGAGGATCTGCAGGACAGAGAAAAACAGAGTGTTAATGTGCTCGATTGAAGACTGAAGATAAACAGGTCGTGACAGATATGTTCCCGTAGTAAAATTACGCGTAAGCCAATTTTATCGAAGCATGCTTTTTCGTAATATGTATAGGACGAAGATTTTTTTAATGATTAGGAAAGTCGTATCAGTAGTACGTAGATAGTGAAATTTCGCAGCCAACAAAAGCAGGCATGATCAACCATAATAAGCTGAGAAGCTTAGCTATTCGTTTGTTTTGCCTTATCTTTGACGCATACGTTAGATACTTTAGTCGATTCATCACGGTCACGAAATCACAGTATAGGGCAACCATTATAGAGAATGGTACCCTTGTAATTCGTAATGATGAATATAGTACGGTGATCTTCGTACCATGGTGATGAACGTGGTGATCGTAAACTTGCAAGATGACCCTCATTTATTATATAGCTCACATGAAGGAGACGTCTACCATTGGATGACGCTAAACTGACGGAATACGAGATCATTTGCCTACGATGAGAAATGTATCTAGCCTATACCCCTTGATTTTTATCATGGTCAGAGCAAAGAAATTGATCATATCCATCTTCTATAAAAGTGTATCGAGTTGGAAAGTAACTCTTTGGAAAGAGAAGCCGACGGGTAGTACAGTTAATTGTCGTAGTACGTAATATTAAAGCGAAAATCTTTTGCATGCAGATTCAACAAGTACTGACTGAACCTCTATCCGGCTTTTACATCATATTGCCCTGTGCGCTACAGGACTCTATAGCAGGTAACCTATCCCCGTGATGGTACGAAGAAAGGTAGCAGTCGACTAAGATAAGGGCAAGCGAGATGGGCCATGTTCGAACGTAGATGCACCGCGTTTCAAAGCGGGAGCCAACCTTTCAGATAATACTCAACCAGAAAGGTACTGGATGTAAAACTCAAAATATTTAGATTTATTTAGGAAAATCATTCGTTTTGCGACTTTTCAGTTTCTTTGTTCAGGAATGACAGAGTGTTATCGTTAGAAAGATTTTCTTCTGTCTTAGAAGGCCCAAATCGAGATCACTTTGTTATGTTCACGAAAGCATAACACATACGATGAGATTTCTACAGTTGAGAGTCTAGCACAAGTGGCTTCTACACGTTAAACCAAGGCCCAATCGACCTGAAGAACGCAGTTCATTGAGCTTTTCAGGCTCGATGATGAGCTCGACCCATTTGGGAGCCCAAATTCAAGATAAGGTCTTGTGAGCCGTACAAAACGACGGTAACCTACGGTAAGCAGGAGAGAAAGCGACGTCTCTAATAGTTGTCTTTAACACTTGACGAAACGAAGAGCTATAAAATCCAGCAAATAGCAAGAATTAATTGGTATACATGTGCGTATGAGAGAGCCGACTTGACCCCTAAAGAGAATCCATTGGCAGTTAGACGTACGCAGATGAATTTCTTGCTAAACTTGCGAGCGTAGAAGTACTTCTCAATATACACATCAACAGAAATGATCGATAGATTGATTACTGCAACATGTTACCATAAGGATAATCAGAAAGAGAAACTCCGTCGCGGCTAACGCAAAACACACAGGATATAGGTAAATGTCGACAACTTACTTGCTATGAATCGATCATAAAACTTTCGTGGGATCGTGACTAGCTGTTCAACCATCTGGCTGGAGCCCAACTGTCGGACAATTTCCATTTGGGTGTCGTCCGACATGGCTACTCCAGGTTATGGAGCAATTTGTTGTACCTGCTCCGCTAGTCAAACAAGACGTCAAATTACGAAATCAGCGATCATTCAGAATCCAAACTTTGTACCACGCTTGACTGCGAAGGCAAGCCCACAACACCTTTACAACTGCACGCACCCGCTGGTGAGAGTGATTACGTCCTTTTTGAATGTACGTTTGAAAAAAAGGGCGCGAAATTGTTGAACTTGGGAGATTCACTGGCCCAGCGGATCAGTACTGCCAATCGTCCAAAAGACCACATTCCTTAACGAAGGCTATACATCTGTCTGCGCACAAGACGCTGTCGTAACAAAATTATCGCGAGCGAGAAGTGGAACTTCACGCGCAAATCACATTGGGCTTCAAAGCATTGTAGTAGGTTTTGCTTGACACGTTTTGCACTGGATATGAATAAGTAATTTAGGATTTATTCCGACTTTACACTAACGTCTATAGGAGATTTGGAAGATTTTATTCAAACAATATTTAGCTTTTCTCTTTCTTTATTTTCTATTAGAGATTACGCAGTTTCATTCAAAAATGCATCGATAGAGGTTGGAGTCTTATCAGGTGAATGAGATTGAACATGGAACATGTAAAAAGTACTCTTCCAGCGCATGAATATTTATCAGTTTAGTGTAGAAATATAGCGAAATACGACACTATACGATAGGATAAGTCGATTGAGTCTAATTAGCGAAAACTCTTTACACAAACTGCATCGCCTCCCATCGATTGGAAAATGTCGCATGTTAGAATGTACATCGCTTATGATTAGTTCTTTGCAAAACTAAATCATCACACCGAGACATATGCTCGAAAAAAATATCGCACAGATCATGTAGACAGCGTAAGTTGTCAACTTGGCATTGCCAAGGCAATGACCTAAACATAAGGTAAGCCTGACGGGTGCGTTCCTTTTGAGGATCGAACAAATTCATATATAACAATCCTTGAGCGTCACAAAAGCTTATATTGTTGGAAAGATCCTATTGCGTAAAGGTCCTAAAAGGCAAACGATGTGGGAGAAGAGAATTGATTGCAAAATACGATAAAGCTGTTAGGGAAAATTAAATTGTTTGGTAAAATCAAATGTTTAGCAAGCATCATAGTAACGAAATTTATTACATGATAGAAATCACAGTTTTCCAAAACCATATAATACTAATCTAAAAAAATCACAAATCTCCTGACCTGAGTTGGGCTTCGGGATGTGAGCACGTCTTCGGTTGAGGTTCATGCGACGGGTAAATCATATACGACATGTACATGTAGTCGAAATATAGAAACCACCTTTTAGCCCCATATGATTAGTTTACATTGATTAAGATAGGTTTGACTGATTTTAATAGCCGTACCAATATTGCTTAATAGTATATTGCTTACAAATGTGTGTAACCCTCGCTAAATGTCAATCTGACTTTTTTTTGTCCGCTAGAAGTAGGTAAACTAAAAGCGTCAATGGGATCAGTGTGAACATAGATATTGTCTCCTTGTCGCAGAATAAAATGATGGCCTCCTTGCTGGTCCGAGATACCAAGCCTTTATTATGTTAGTGCCTTCTTACAACGAAGACTTTGAGCTGCTGCATGTAGTAAAAAAACAAAAAAAAAGTCCATGCTGTAGTAACAATTATCCTCAGTTGCATCAAACTGGCAGAAATATACATGTATATAAATTTAAAGCGAGACGTTATGCTTTTCCTTTTGTATTCTTATCCAAGAAACGGGATCAACTTCGAAATTCAAAATAAATAGGCGCATTCATACGTGGGTACACTTGGCTTATCGTTTTCGACTCTTTTCAAGTAGATTTTGAGATCTCTAGCGTGCCGACCTACGGTTTTAATAGACCACTAACAAACGTTTGCTGAAAATTGCTTAAAGCCAACTTCTCTCTAAGTCGTTTACTGGGTTTGTTTTTTCGTCTTACTTCGTTTCGTTTAACGTCATTTGTTATGTTCTGTTACTATTATTATTAGAATAACAGAGATGAACGGCTCATTTCCTTGAAGCTCTATAATTATTACTTTCCTCCATTGACAATCACAACAAAACACAGTAATAATTGTTAAAGATTTTATTGGTAAATTTAAAATTTTGATTAATTTCTTTTGCAAATTGAGATCATGTCTCGTACACTTTCGTTTATTTCTCATGAGTTTCTTAACAATGTTCTTTCTTTTACAACAAACCATAGTCTCAATTGACCCTTTCGATTGTGATCATCCAATCGGCGGGCGAGTCTGTTCCAATAGCCCTATTTAGTCTTCTGTTTAATGTCATCTGCATTTACTTAGACTACCATTTTGGCTGTTTGTTATTTTTTTTTTTAGATAAAAATGATATTACTTCTCTTCGTTTGTTATACTTTGTCCTTGTCTCTGGTGTCACACTCAGTATCTTCTAATGCCTGTCACATTTTTCGCACTGCAGAGATTTTCGTTCGTAAGTTAGTATGTTTCATCGGAACATCGATAGTTCTGGTAGTGGAGCTCAGCTAATTGATGTATAAAAAATAGTAACAAAATGATAGCGATATGACCCAATTACATATAGTAAGGCACACTGTCGGGTTCCATCAACCATTACATGAAGATGTACAGGTACCGCCGTATGTTTTCCATCGCTGCTAAGGCTTGCAGTTACGTTTCGTATGTGAAATAAACAACGATAGCTATAGAAACTAACCACTATTACTATAATTGCAAAATACGAAACGATCTTCATCATCGACAAGACTAGTTGCGGTATGGCTTGATGAGAAGCTTGATAGGGCCCTGATAATCATCTGGCATACCATAATATAATCAGAATATCGCTACATGAAACACTAAGTTCATGCGTATAACTACTTCTATGTCGAGCACAGTCCTATACTTCTACTATTTCCTGTATCATTTTAAATGATCGACCAAAGCTGCATCTACAACTCATCTATATATGATACCACATATACTCCGGTTGTCTAACAATATCATAGAAATGATCATTCCAATAACGTAATAGCAAGAGTAACAAATACGTTGTGCCGTTGCAGAATGCACAAAGTTTTGTTTTTATCCGACCCACCACCATCATCGATAAAGCTAAACAAGTCCAATCATTGTGTCGAAATAATCAAAGGTTCGTCCTTCTGGCGAGCGAAACGCAGCTTTCGGCTAGAATCAGCTCACGCAACAAGGCTGATTTAAAACGGTAAACTGGTACTGTCCCAAGGAACATTTGCCTGAGATTTGGACGGAGGGCAACCATTTCGCCGGTACGTAAGCGCTAACGTTCTTGCTCTCCCACTTCATGCAGATATGGGCTTCTATGGCCTATACTGTTTGAACCGAAAGCTCTATGTTGTTCACATTAGCTGAAGCCCTCTTGAGACGATTATGCTATATCACTACTTTTGAATGGACGCCTGCCGGCCCCAACTGCTAAATTCGCGATGTTTTTCCTCCATTCGTTGCCGTCGCTATCCTCGTTATTTACGCTCAGCTCGTTAAATTTGGAAACAAGTTGTTCATGCGGCTGAAAAGGCCCGAAAAGTTCGCGATTACAAACATCCTGCGTAGAATTATCAGACGTGGCCGTCGCCCGCTATAACAGGATAATCAGGTGCACAAACGAAGATACGTTAGAAGAATGAAATATAGGCAGACTGATGGAATAGGTCCGTGACGAACTAATCTTTGGTAATATGAAACAGACGAATCTCGTTTTGTCTAGGATAATCGTAACTATTGACAAGTCTGCGTACAGAGCATACACCTTCAACGAAAAATCAAAATTACCAAAAAAAATAAGCGCCCTTACACTTACGATAACCGATAACCGATAGGAACCAAGTTAAATAACTGTACCAAGTTAGCTGTTAAGTTAGGGAGAACAAATTAAGAAGGAAGTTGGCCTGTGACCACACCAGTTTCATGTGCACGCAATCTGTCTTACTTCTTGTGAACCACGGCACGCCTAGATCTGTCATATTTGCAGGCTCGCTCCGAGGTTCAACTGGGCTTTCAGTTGAGTCTGAACTCTACCTAGTATTATGCCTTCCTGATCTTCTGTGGCTTAGATGTCGTGTGTGGGACATGTTGTTTGGTAAACCTGTCTTGTGTGTGCTACCTAATATCATTTTTTGACGATCGCAAAACTGCATATTCTGAAACACGAGGAGGAACCATTAGACATGGCCGTGCTATTGGACTTACGCTAGATGGTTCAAATTTGTGGCGTTTATTTGTACTTCATCAACGACAACAGTAAGATCAGCGTAATAACCTGAATATACGTTTAATCCAACCACATGTCCCTGAAGTATATTATTGTACTATTGAATCAGGTAAAGCGAGCAGTACGTAACAACTTCACGTCAACTTCACAGCAATCACGTTGCCAGTAGCAAAACTCGTAACTTACCGGAACGCATCGGCCATGAGGTATGCCATCGAAGGGCAACGTACAGGTCATCGGCTTTGGTTGAGGGGACATCTGTATGACAATCAGTTTACTTAATTCTTAATTATAACTTCTGAATCTAAAGATAAATCAGTCACTGCCAGCCAGACAGACTGTTTTGTTTAGATATGGATTTGGCTTCTGTTCGTGGGTAAAAACATCTTTACTGCTTGCTATATGCTTTTCTAATCTTTAAGATGTACAATTAATTGTATTCGTACGAAAATTTTCTTTACGCCAAAAATTCATGCAGCAACAATATGTTTATATAATATTAAATATTACCAATGTGCAACTGAGATAATAATAAAAGAACATGTATGCGCCTATGTCTGCAACTCATATAGAGAATAAAGTGAAGCATTGATTAAATCTAATAAATATATTTCGGTGTCTAACGCGAAAAGTTGAAAAATGAAGTTCATTGTATCATATGCTATAGGTATACCTGGTCACTGATAGGCGAACAACAGTCACTTAAGCATGCTTCCCAACTATCAATTGAGTCCGAGCACCGATTTGATGACATTTGAACGGATGGTAACGGCGAGCTCGTCCATGTCCTTTGAGGTTTGGGAATCAGGGAGGCAGCAGCGGATGAACCGATTAAGGAGCTGTCATCTATAACACTGTTATTTTCAGTATGGTCACGATAGGCAAGACTTGCGCAGCTCCTAAGAGACTCGAGTTTCACCTGGCAGGACACCAAAGTAATAAAAAATACGAACTGTCATTATGTGTATATGTTATTACTACTCCTAAAAAGAAAAACTCGTACCTCAGTGCCCATACGGACCGAAACTGTAGAAAATATTTGAGACAAAAACGAGCCGGATGAGAGTAAAGCTTTCGAATTTCACATTCTTTCAGACGATAGGTTTTTGGCTCAGTCATTTGCTAATAAAAAGCTTAACTCTAGGACGGTGTTAGGTCAACTAGTTCCCCTAGAGTGCCATTGGCTTGTGCCAACTTGATTCAAATTCTCTTGCTGAGTATCAGTTCAGCCACAGCTGAAAATTGTCGATTAATAAATGTATCGACAAGATCGGCTAGTTTTTGGCCTGTGATTGACGTCACCGTTCCTATTAACTCTTCGGGCTCTCCGATCTTTTAAAACTACCTAAATAATTTAACTGCTGATCAGTGTTATATGTCGTCTGCTGAACTAGCTGAACGAAAGAGCATCCGCTAAAACAACGCCAATATGACGCTCCTGGTAAAAAGGGACAATAAAACGGTATACATACAAGTATAGATGACTATGCGATTTCATTTATTATGATGCAATATTTCATATCTAGAACGAGCCTAGAAAAGCCTCGTTGATAAACCTATTACACAACAGATGTCTATGCAGCCGACCGCTACATCCGACAGTAGGCGAGCGTCACCTGGAACGACCTTTTATCTGTATCCACACATCCAAACATATCCATTGCATAAGCGATTCGATCCAAAGGGTCATGAAGCGGCTACGGATGGGCGCTAAAAATAATGACCGACGATAAAGTCAGCAAAAACCAGGTCCAATTTATGCGATCGTAACTTACAGGTGCAACGGGCGCTACTGTTCGGGTACGGCAGGTTCCTTCAGAAAGCTCGTAACCCCCGAAGGAGGTGGCGCACTCGCTGTTCGCAATCAAGTCCGAATTCTGATTGAAGCTCGAATCATGTTTTCGGATGCGCTGATTGGTACGTTCTAGAGAGAAACGAAAATCAAATGACAACGGATGAACCTCATCGCAAACTCTGATAATTGCGTGCAAGTCTATATCTGTAACTAGCGCTTATTTGATAAAGTGATTCCTAAGATGTTGCATTTAACGTCAAGTTATTATTAGAATTATTCAACAACAGGCTGATGTTTTAGTCGAAAGACTAGATTTACATTCGCAAGTCAATTTCTGAAGATTCTGTGAAGCAGATTCTTTACGATTTAGCAAATTATAATTACGACGTTTTAAGAGGGACATTTTAAATTTACTAGTAAGCAGTAAAAATGAATCGAAACGGATTAGTCGATAATTTTTACCTAGATTTGATCCAATTTCATCATAGAGTGTACGCTGCAAAACTGAGGTTTGCTGCTTCTGATGCATAAGAACTTTCGAGCGCACGATGCCGGAAGAGTCTGCAGAGCCTTCGTCAACTATCGCGGCAAACTGGTCCAGTACCATTTTGTCCATCGGCTCACTTAAAGAGTGTGTAGGACAATTTGAAGCCTCCGACTTTATCAGATCCGCATACCTTTATTCAAGCAGAATCAGAGTGACCCGATTACTTAGAACTAGAATCATCAGAAAGTTCAGAGCTGTATATAGTTAGCTGATGATCATATATACAAGAAACACCCACAGCGCACCACTAGCGAGGCTTCTACTACGATATTCAGCCTTGAAGGGCCATATCGGACGTGAGTGGGGGTCGCTTCGATGGAGGATCAATGTATCACCTATCGCAATTTTCTTTTTTAGGAGATTTACTTGTCGATCCCGTTTTCCACAAGGTACCTCTAAGTATTTGCCACCGCAAATCCCTAGGGGTAGAACAAAAAAATATGGCCTCCGTTTGGGAAAGTTGTTGAACTTTTTTATCCAGCTTCATATTTTAAGCTAAACCGGCATGTTTACGAGCAACAATAAAGATCGACATACCGTATAGGTGATTTCGCGGTGCTTGCTGCCGCTTTTACAAAGGCCAGAGGATTTACGTTCGGCAGCGTAAGTGCACGGTAGACATCCATTAGCAAATTTACAAATCCTTCAGGACCTCTGGCTACAATTTTCCACTGACGCGAATCTCGGTTAAGTCTCAAAAGTAACGAGATATCATAATCATACAGCATGTCATTGATCTTGCATATGAGTTTCACCGTTGTTCGCATGGCTGATTAACAAACACATTATCATAAAAAAAACGTTGGTTTGTGTATTGTGACGACGAAAAAATTAAAACAAGTAGAAATTGCTCAGCTAGTACATGCAATATTTCAACAAATAATTTATCCGTCAAGGGCATACGTTCTGTGTCCGCAATGGAACGGCATCTTCATCGTCCTATCAGACCAATATATATATATATATATATATGTGTTTTGTGTCATTCAAGCTTCAATAAAGCACTAGCAATATACAAACGTTGATAAACAAATGTACGGCTCAATCAAACAGTATTGATAAGAATACCTGTTTCAGCTGTCGGTCAACCCACCTGCAACGGTAGCATCATATCTGTCGTGTTTTCTCGCTGCAATAAGCGCACTTGCCAGCGCTTCCAAAGGAACAACTTTCAATTCGCCGAGCTCCTTGAGAATGTCGGAGGGCAAGCAGGCCAAGTAGGGATGCTCCAACAGCTGGGAATTTTCGCTACCGCAGACAGCGATGCCCGTGTCATTCGACCAGTTCCTACGCTCCTCTTCATTAATTGCGTCATGCCAAGATTGGGGCACTTCTGACACGTCGATTAGCAAGGTTGCTGGCAACAGATCCATGACGCCAGTCCACGCTTCGAAGACATTGTCAATTTGGCCGAAAATCCTAATTGTTGGTATGTGATACGCACGCTCATTTCGAGTAGCTATAACCTGAAATTTCGAATTGGTTCGCTCTTGGAGATAACGAATCTTGATGTCGTTTGGGCCCAGTACGTAGCTCAAATAATGGGGCGACACTTCAAGACCCAGATAGACAACGGGACGCTTCTTGTTTGGCTGTAACAGGTCCATAAGCCGGAGTAGGCCTTCGCGAATGCGGTGAAAGTTGCTGCGCCGTCCGCGAACAGTAACCATTGCGCATCTACCCCAAACCGGCAGCCAATTGATCGTCATGCTATATTCGTTTTGAAGGGGCTGTAATTATAAAAGGGGAAAGCAGAAAACAATGGCCGACTAGAATAAGATAACTAGATACGAAAGTATGAATCAAGTTAGTTTCCATGTGGTTAAAAAAAACACCTAAATATTTGACGTTAAATTCACAGTAACTCTTCAGTTAATAGAATGCATTATATTTTAGAGAGTACACAATTATATCCCAATGTAAATATAACAATTGGCGCAATATCGTCGGTTTTCTACCTAATGCAGATGAATTTGCTCGTTGCCAATTGAAACTTTTTCTTTATTTTTTTTTCCTTATTTCGTCATTTCTTTCCTTAATTCAGACTTTAGTTAACGTACATCGACCATCACCATATGATGAACGAAAACAATGAACAATAATAAGTGCTATTTTTTAATAATTAAAGATAAACGTGTGCGATGACTGATTCAGTAGTCTATATATACATATATATACATGTATATATATATATATATATATATATACATGTATATATATATATATATATATATATATATATATGTTTTTTTATTGCTATTCCATGACGTGCACTAAATGGCTCTACAGCTAGTTCAACTCAAAGACCCGTAAACATAAGCTGTTCAATAGAACAAACATTGTTTCAAACCTATCGACCAATTTAGCAAAACCTTTTCTTAAGAATATTCAGCACGCTTCAGATCGAGCGTCACCTACCTCAAACTCCCTCTTAAGTTTCTCCAGTATCTTCCCTTCGTTGCCATCATACTGACACGCGACCTTAACGTAATCTGCCTTGTCTACGACGAACACAAATGATACTGGAAGCATATCGCGGATCCTTTTACGCGCCTTAAGCACCGAATCTGGTTCTCCAGCCACCGATACCTGGAAGCGTGTTGTTATGAACTACTTTTTTGTGTATGTATGCCTTTTACTTGGATTTAATATTTGAACTATCCAATGCAATAGAAAATGCACAGAAGAAGTACTGGCTTTCCCACTGGAATAAGGTTTGAAAAAGATGACCCTATAGTATGCTAGCTGAGAACAGTTAAGATCGCTGTGAAATATTTCCAAAAGTAGAGGCACTGCTGGCAGATTTGCATGTCAGCTTTGTTCGGAGTATTTGTATCGTGTGTGGTTTTTTATCGTATCAAAATGCATCAAAAAGTAACAGAAGGCAGCCTATTGTGGGGGCGTCTATTAGGCTGTCGATTAATCTGGAATACAAACAGGCGGATAGAGTGTAAACGGTGGAGATTTGAGCAGGCCAATGATAAATCAAGTGAGCCTGAAAAATAAAAGGCTTGTGTTAGGCTAATAATACTAAAAGAGACCAATCTTTATCTTTGATATTTTTTAGGTATACAAGTAAATCGGTAGCTTAACTGACGCTTCACCTCGTCTCTCCTTTATAAATAAGAATGGAGCGAACGAGATCGAAGTCCTTTTTTTCTACACATTGTAGATTCTATGAAAATAATGTAGTTTCAAAATGCCTCGCTCTTATCTTAAGTGAACGAGTCCTTGAAGTCACCTTTTTTTAGGTATAGCGTCAAAGATTTCGCTCATTGAGACTCTGACCGGGGTAGACATTGCTACACTTATCTAGATTTTCCCCAATAAGCCTATGAGGCAGCTTAACAATTACGCAACCGGCTCTCAGCTTTAATAATTGTAAAAGCTCATTTTTCCTTGATCCCTACTTTATTCTGAAAGTACTCATAAATTTATAATGACATTTTTTGCCAACCCTGAAGGTCAAGTCATCGTGGCTGCCTGCCTGCTCGTTAGTTAATAGCCATTATGGCAGTGAACCCAAAGTGATACGCAAACTATGCCGCTCCTTTATCGTGGTTACTCATAATACAAGAAAGGATCTAAGTCCAACGTAAACAATCAGAGACCTGTTGCGAATTTTCTTTTTATTTATTTATATTACAATACATAGTATTGTATCAGCAAGGCTAATCATGGGAACTGTTAGCAACTGAGAACAATACACAGATAGACATATATTTTCAGTTATACCTAGATCATCATTTAAAGTATCAATATACCATTAGGCACATGTAAGTTACTTGCCCAACGCTAAAACATTTCTGGGTGTTCCTTAGACTAGCATGTGATAAACAAATTAAAATGCGCAATTTACTGAAACTTTTGGCCAGTATTACAAAAATAAACAAAAAAACACGACGCATTAAATTGCTGGCTTTACCAATTACGTGGCCGTATACCTGATTACTCTTTTCCACTTGATTGTTTCGGTTCGAGTCAGGAAAATGAATGTGGGTATCGGTGCTACGCATCACCATCTGAATGTTTTTGCCCAGCCGCCCAATGATGAATGAGTGGTCCGCAAAGGACACGTCCATTTTAAGAGTAATATGGTTGTCCTTTATTTCCTGCAATTGGAAAAAACTGTCCTTAATATTTTACACGACTCGCACTCTTACTGGATAAACTGTAAGCTGTGCAAAGAAAATATTTAATAAAGCTTCAAAAAACGGGACCAAGCACACGTACCATTTATTTACAGAAGCAAAAATAAACGCTCTCAGCTTATCGAAACACCTTTCCCTAAAAGGTAGATTATTACTTCGTTCGTAATACAATACAACACGAAGATCCTTTATTCAGACGACCACGTTATACAATCAAAGCTAGCGAGAAATATGCCAAGAGAATGAGATGATATTTCTACGTTTCGTACTTAAATGCACAAATACAGACACACGACTTTGCCATACATACTGTAACGGTTTATTTCGATATCACAAGGCCTCTAATAGCCGCGGAAAATTAGCATTAAGGCAACGAATGGTTGCGTTTGGCAAAAAGTATATAATAACAATCTACCTTTAGGCTCGCGATCTCTGCGATGATTTCGCGAGCAACAGCGACCTGCTCCCTCGTTCCAGTCAGACGAAAAAAATATTCGCGTCGGCCTTTACTTTGTCTCGGAATGATCATATCTTGAGCGCGACCAAACTGACTCTCTACGGTGAAACTGCGATGTCGTTGGGTCACATGGTACACTGGGTCGACGAAAACCCCAGAATGAGCGCAGAGGTTTAGGGTGAAAGCGGAGCCTACAACGGCGATAGACATCAGTAAAGTAGCGAGCGATGATTAGCTAGTGCGTTAAGTATATTTAACGATGTAGTTTTGATGCTGTGTGGTTCAATACGAAAATTCTAAACGTATAAGAATATCCTTAGGATCAACGGGTGATATTTTCATTTGTTTTTACGTATTCCATGCATAGATTAATAAACGCCAATCTTATGCAGGAAATCGATAAGATGAATCTATGTTTGCCTTTTACTCACAACATGAAACATAGACGTAGAGAATCAAACTGCTCCTGACCTACTAATCAAAGAAGTAGGGTTCTATTTGTGATAGGGAAGATCGCTTCGGTTATTGCCCGCTCTATCGATCTGTATTTCAGTGCTCGTTTGTTACATAGCTTTAATGAACAGCCGCCAGTAGAACGGAAAATTAATTAGGCGTTGGTGGTAAAGATAATTTATAGAAAAAATAACAAGGCAAAAAGCATAGGACGTCGCTAAGATCTAACGGTGCCTTGCAGTGTTGCGCAGCTTTTCTATAGTACAAACTGGCTTATCGAGCCGTGAATGCTACCGTAATCTTCAAACAGAAATTAAATATTATCAGGTATCCAGAACCTACCTTTTACCATCGTTCGTGACATTGTTTTGGTAAAGGGCCACAATGATACTGTATAGCTTAACTATACGTTTGAACGGGTTATGCGAGCCTGAAGCCCGGGATGGAACGACCGTTTTGTATAGACGGGAGTAGATGCTCCCGCAGTCTAAACAATCATTGAAACTATTCGAAACGGCATTCGATATCGAGAGAACTAAATACGATGCTGAGCTCTGGTCTAGTTACGACAGCACATGACTCGGATCCACCCAAATTGCAGCTTTCGGATATATAACGACCTACCGAAGTTCAGTTAACAGCACCTTGTCCACAACAGATAGCAGCCTACAGACTACAACGTTACGAAGGGTAACTTACATTCATAGAGCCTCCGCGATATTGGAACTAATTTCGTAACTATTTGATCCATAGCAGGCGAAGGCATGAAGTTTGGCATCACAGCGGTGCCGGCCATACTCCTTCTAGCTAAGGAGTCCTGCGTAGTTTTCACTAAACTCTTCGGAAAAATGTAACCGACTTTAAACAGCAGTAATTCGCACAGTCGGGTGATTCGTAGTGTGAGACTCCCCGTGAGAGCCGGCAATGACCTGTCATGCTTACAAAGCTGCCATGTGCGTGCACTGCAGGTGGGCAAGATTTGTCAAACACTGTATCTGTGGCACATCGAACGAAACTGTGAATAGCACAATACGGTCCTACGTTCACGAGATAGAAACCAACCAATCATCTGTTTTTGACGAGCAGAGCAAAGCGTACAATTACTAGAGTGACTAATACGATAGTAACATTGATGCAGTTTTCCGTGCAAGAGTTAGCTGCTACCGAAGACAGCTTCTGATACGCCATGGACCACTTTAGCAGTAATTGAATATTTTACACTTGGCTGAGTTCATTGATACAGGAACTCATTGACTATACATTATACGGCTGAAGAATATGCGTGCCGCTATTAACGGCTCCTCGTATTGCTCTATATTCGGTTCTTACGCCAAACTGAGTTATATACAATAGGTTCACCCGTCCGTTTTTAGAGTTCAGCGGCATTTCGTTAAGTTTTTTTTGACGTCGAATGGCAAATCTAAATGAAATCTCCCACTGACTCGTATGTCGCTTCCACATTTTTGACTTTCAGGGTCATGAGCGATACTCGGTTCTCAGAAATGTACTTTATTTAGTATTTACATTACTTTATTCAGGAACTTCACAAAATTTCTAGCTGCTATTATAGAATGAAACTAAGAGTTTTTTTGTCAAGTACAAGGTTCGCGTCGTGAGTATTGTGAAATTGTGCGAAAATACTTCGCACGAATTTGAAGCAATGAATATCATAATACCTCATAGGTTTCCATCACTTTTCCCCATAATAACGTAATAGTGGGTGCTAATCTTGAAGAAACGTTGTGCTTTGGGTTCGAACCTGGGCAAAAACAGTCTTGGTTTCATGCTGGGAGTCAGCCGTCTGATGGCGATGCCGAACGTAAAAGTCAAAACATAGAGGCTTCGATCAGTTGGCTAGTATCATCATTAAAAAAAAATTACGTTGATATTCCTAATGATAGTTCTTGCATATTAGCCATTAGGTGATGCTTTTTCCTGCAGATTTTTTGAGCAAATTATTTGAGGAGCTTAATCCGGGTTAAGTGAATCGCCCCGCTTGATGAATGCAGCGAGTGGGTAGCAAACACAGACCTCATGAAGATGACCATAACCAAATGGGGTCACCAAACGAAGAAAATGTTAACTCGTCTTGAAGAACTACGGTTTTTTGCGTAGAATCATTTTGAACTAAATAAAGCAAAAACCTATTTTTATATTAACCTATAAAATGAATCGAGGAGCATAAGGAAACGAAATTGGTTCAGAATCCGGAGAAGTTCAATGGCTGGCTGGCGACTATCTTGTGAATGTGCGGAAGTTAATTGATCGTTGACAAGTTTTTTAGAATTATACATGTCAATGCTTAATTACCAGTTCTCGATTTCTAACCAGCCGAGGAAACATAATAATTTTACGCTTGTATTATGTAAATTGAATCAGTAACAAGTGACACTATTTACACTTCGACTAAATACAGTGTTATAAAAAAATAAGGTCATCATTGTTGCTTGCAACCGAACTCGGTGTCGGGAATTAGCCGCTATCGATGATTTGATTGCATCTAAAGCAGAAATTGTTTGTTATGGGCACGTGTGCTCTTACGTTGAATTTTAGAATCTGTAGGTGATAGATTACCTTGTAGGACCTAATCTTAGTGCACCTAAAATAGTAAAAAATGATATCAGCGGATCTGCTGTTGTGTACCCTTCTCGTGCATTATTTCTTAACTAAAAAGTGAGAAGGTGATTGGAAGTATCCAAACCTTATCTACCGCGTGCATGTACGATACAACGCTATTTGGAACGTATCTATGTACATATATTTCCGTTACCTGGTTAGTAAGGAAATCACGCTTTAAACAGTATCATTAATTGAGCGCACATCGTGAATATGGCAAACCGTGGCATGTGACGACAATTACTTAAGAAACTAATGAAGCGAAATGATTATGGTCATAGAATCCTGCATCTATACAAGCGTATTTTTGTTTGGCGATATACGGAGAAAAAAATATGAATGAACTCTGCTTTATTCCTATTGCAACTCTTAATGCAGAGATATTTTCAATTACTCGTATAAATCATATGTGTTTACCTTATACTATAATTAGGACGGACGTCAATTACATATGCTGCCCATTTGACATACAAATAATCAATCTTGAAATAACTTTTATTTTATCGGTCTACTACAGCCTAGCAGATATCAATGACTAACGGCAGATCTGTCTTTTGATCCCAACGGCAATTGCAGTGTATTATAAGACTAAATGTGGTTGCTGAGTTTTAAGTAAACCCATTCTATGCCATCCTGTTAAGTTTTCAGGTAGACGAATGGGTCGAACACCTTCGGGATTCAACCTTAACCAAAGCTTGATGATGCACCTGAGGCTATGCATATTGTTTTGCATGCTGTCGAATCGTCCACTAATAAATTAAGCTGAACTTTTACTTGCCTAGCAGCTTCATTTGGTTTTCTCCTTTCTGGTTGCCTCTTTTCCTAAAAATGTACTTTTGTATGGTTGTAAATTACAATTTTCGCTTAACCTGTTTCTTTCTGTCTGGATGAACCTTAATTGTACCTAAGTTATCGTTTAAGGACCTGGCACACGTAATTAGTTCTGCCTGCGGATAATCCCCTACTTTAAGGCGAAATATTACTGCAGTTTTTAGGTCCGCAGCACGCTTCTTTGAGGTCGCTTGAATTTATTTTAATTGCCAAGAATTTGACCATGTCTAGAAAATCAGGCGCGTGTGTCTACTAGAATAAATTCATGCGGAACGCCTAACGTTGTTTAGCAAAAAATGCATACTTCGTTGTCGATTCTGATCTTTTTTTCTGTAGTATCATTTATAAAATGTCGTAAACCTTTGGGACACCCAGATAAGCCACAGAGAACACTTTTTCCTCAATTTTTATATACGTCAATATGTTGACAGATTTTTTGTGAGGTTTACGTTATACGACTGGAATTTAGCTTATTTTACTATAAATTAATTTGCACATATACGCTATGAGAAGGTTCGCCTCCTATTGTGCTACGTAATGAATTTAATATTATCATGTTATATTATTATAATGGTAATATCGCTCTTTAGATATAATACTCAACCGTCTAGGTCTGTTCATAATGACTAAAGTATCTAATTCAAATTAAATTTCACATGTATACATCTTCCTCTGTTCATGTAACCCTTATTCCTTTATCAGTGGAAAATACATCGTAAAAACTGATAATACTTAAATTATTTTTCTCAAGCGGAACACTATCTTCTAAATATCTGAAATGATTGCTTTTGAACAACTGCAGTATACAACTAGACTTAACATCAGTGATAAATCGGCTCCTTTTTTTCATAATTTTTGTGATCGCTTTTTCTAATGTAACACTATCTCTGAAAAATATCTCTAATGAAACAATATCTCTATAATGAAAACCAGCAAGCCTTGTTCCATTAACACAAAAACACGTCTCTTTTCGGCGAAAGACATCACATCAGCCCAGAGCCGTCTGTCTCCACAATTATCATTAAGAAAAATCCCGCCAAAAAATTCGAACAAATGCCGGAACCGCGCGTTCCACCAGATGGCGTGGTTACGATTCAAATGGGCTTTGTGTACGTGAGTGATCGGCTACAGTCGAGCAACCTGCGAGCGCTACCTTACACTGCTTAATTTGCTGGGTGCGCTTTGGTGAAGTTGTGTTTTCATAATAATTGCCCTCGTCCTTTGATGCTTTTAAAATTGCGATATTTTCAAAAAGGACCCCGAAGCCGAATACCCAACGATGGCCTCTTCCACAGCGCACCACTCGAAAAAAAGCAAAAAGACTCTTCAAAAGGGTAAATAGTATTCTGGAAGCTACTTCAGCACATAAATACCGAGTTACAGTAGAATTGGTTGTATTTGATGTTTAGCGATGTCAGCTGTTGCATTATAATGTATTACTCAGTGGTTGCATGCATATAATTGTGAATAATAAAATAATTTGGACACGTATAGCTATTGCTAATAATCGAAGTTTTTAAAAGAGCGTTAACTTGAAATTGTTTTAAAAAAATTGCTTTTCTGCTAACAACAAAAAAGTTAATCGTTTAATTTGACACTTTTTACGATCATCTTAACTTCATATTTAGTTTAAACAGAAAGTTTCGTTTATTCAGATAAATGGGGGCCTTATTTCTTATTGAAAGATATGACTGTACAATTGTCTGAACTAATTTTTTGAGTTAGCCAATCGGCAACTAATGTTAAGAAAACTGAAAACTTTTTGGACTGAAGCGACTCCAACAAAAAGTTTTCGCCGACCGATTTTTCATTAGAAAAAAGCGTTTTTTGACCTCATTAACAAATTCCCATATCATCTTGAAACGCTCCCTCAGTTTGAGGCGACGCATGCATCGACATACTCTGAACTATATTATTGAGTTAAATACGCTTAGTTTTCATAAGTACATGTTTTTTATGTTTCAGTCAAAAAATTGCCTTCTAAAAATTATTTAAACTTATTTAATTCCTTTGTTCTGTACTTAAGTATAATTCAACATTTGAAGTTGGCCGATACATGACAGTTACTATGCAATTTGCGTAAAACGAAAAAGGGAAGGAACAATCACACATGCAAATTGACATATCGATATTCCTAATGAAAAAAACTAGATCATCGCTTTTCGTCATCTTCTTCTTGTAAGGCCGAACCACGTCTCTTTAAATAAGACACCGCAACCGGAGGCTGCGTGCACCCGAAGGTTCTGCTTGAGCTTGAGTGAAAAAAATGCAAAACAATTTCACCGTTTATAATTTTAAATGATGTGATTTTAATGCATTCGTGTGAAATATTATTATCAATGTGACCAGAACAACAATCCATCTTCTGCCATTTCTTTGTCAGTTATAATGAGGTAACCTTTCCGGGTTAACTAATCGTTTTTGCCAAAATGCCAATTTAAACTTTTTTAAGTGATATATCATACCTACGAAGGAGCTGCTGACGCTTCCGCGAGAACAGCGGCGAATGGGGAAACGAGTGCTATATATTGCCTTATACCTGCCAATGCTGTATAATCAATACATTCTTTGATTACTGGTCAATTAAAAATTAATCATCGCCATCATGATGATTAAACGTTATTATTTGTGTATACAATTGCTAAGTATTAATAGTTGCTTTGTTAACATTTAATAGCAACTAGCGATACGGGCAGAGCAAATGACTGAAATAACTCACTTGTTTTGACCTTTAATTGCAGGTTCGAACGGAAGTTGTGTTTTTTGTAAGCGTGCTATTAATGACGACGACGATTTGAAATTTGGCCAGCGTGAATTCAGCGGAAAATTTACCGTGCACTATTTTTGCATGGTAAGTCATTCTTCAGTAATATTTGAATGTTACTGAAAAATAAGTGTTTTGTAAATGGAAGTGACTGATATATATATTTTATAGCGCACTTTGGATTAATTTTCTCGGTTGTTGCAGCTGGCGGATAAGAAAACCGTTCTTATAAGAGCATATTCGTAGCATAGGTATATAAAAAGCATGTAGGGTAGTAATTCAACGGCGATGATCCATTGATGGCTTTAAGTGTTACACGGCAGCGATTTTATAAATCTTACATTTAAATGTGCAAAATTATTATAGTACTTTTAGAATTACGGGTTCCTAATAAAATCGGTAGTGTTGGAATGAGTGCTTTAACGCTTATGTATCTATTTTCTACTAACGTACCTAGATTCCTGACGCCTATAAACAAACGCTTAGAGACAGGTCTAACACAGAACGCATTAACTTGCGTACAGTTTCTCGGCCATCTATGTGTCGCTTACAGATAATAACATCAATAACAACAGCATAAGTTCTCGTCTGTTTTAGCTCTTGTCGACTCAGTTGCTTCAGCAAGGCGAAGACGATGAAGGAATTAAAGGTTTCCTTGACGTCGACATTTATAAAGAATTGCGCCGTGCGCGCAAAGACAGATGCTGCTACTGCTCCGAAAAGGGCGCCACGGTAAAATGTGCCAGGTCATCTTGTCGGCGCATTTTCCATTTTCCCTGCGGCTTTGAGGTCGGTGCGGTTCCCGATTTTAACTCGGAGTCATTTAATGTTTTCTGCGCCGAGCACGCTCGGAGACGTCAGACTATTTCACCACTGCTGAAAGAAGACGGAACAGCCGAATGTCTCGTGTGCTTGGAGTCCCTTAAGATAGACTTAACCCGGCCCTTGCCAAGGGACCTACTCGTGAGCCCATGTTGTCGCCAACTGTATGAAAAAGGTTGCTTGCGTGGTTACGCTAGAGTAGCTGGCTTGCATCATTTTAAATGCAGCCAGTGCCGCAATGAGGAAGACTTTTTGTACTCCTGTCGGGAGAACGGCATCTTTGTGCCTGATCAGGACGCCGAGTGGGAACGTAACGACGAATTTGCCGATCATTACATACCTCATAGCACTTGTGATGTGCCTGTTTGTCTTTGCCCGGAGGGTCGCAGCAACATCGAGGACCATGACGACTGGGAAGTTGTTAGGTGAGATAAATACGAGTATTATACTCGCTTGATCATATATGAATAATTATGTGTCTTTATTGAATAGCTATTGCTGTAGGAGTAGTTGACAATCTCAGTTTTTATTCACCACTTCTATTTACTACGGTTTCAACTCGTAATAAAAAAAAATATTATAAATAACACACAAAACGTTGTTGCAATTATTTCGCGCATAATTATGCCTTTCTCAACATTTACGTTATCTGTCCGTTTTTGTTGCTTTGTCTAGGTGCGATGACTGCGGAAAGAGCGGTACGCATATTAAATGTAGTAATCTTACGCAGGGAGCAATGTCTCCGTATAAGTGCAACGACTGCGAATCAATAGGACCTCATTGTACACCAGCCAACCCTATTTCTGCCACGCAATATTCTGGTCAAGAAGGTAAATCAATAGATCATAGGCTCGAAAAAACTTTTTTTAAAGTGCTAATACATACCATTTGCAGCAGTTTTTTTTAACTCAATTGATTTGCACATATTCATCCAGTACGGCTTTGCTTCAAAAAGCCACTATACCTTCTAAAAATATTATACTGAACAGATGCCGTCCTCAGTCAATTTTGTGGAATAACAATATTGAGATATTTGTCTAAGGTACAAAATCCAACTGCGTATTCTTCCCTGCTAGAGAATTAATCACAAGCAAATTGTCCAACTTCCATATGATGTTTGGCATTTCAGGAAGTAACGACGTTGTACCTCACTCCTCTAGCCATTGTATGACTAGTAACAGCTCGAATGTCAGATGGTATCAGGAGTCGAAACTTCATAAGGCATCCACGGGTGAGGCCATTATAGTGCTAAAGAAAGAGTCCATTGAAGATGCCGGTAAAGTTATTGACGTGGACGATTCGTGTACGGCTATAGCTCACGATAACAAAGAAAATCAGCAGACTGATAAGGGAAGCTCAGCCATCTGCACTCCCGAAAGTCCTGACACCCGACAGCCTAATAAGAACGATAGGGATCTGCTGTACTTAGATGTTTGTACCAGCTCCGTCGAAACGCCGCCGTTGCTATGCAGGTTTGACAAGAATTCTAGAACTGATAATCGAGTCAAAACTATGAAGGCTGGCTAGGAATGTGTGATATAGCGCTAAGCAGCTCGAAGTCGTGCGGAAGTTATTAATTTTCGTTCTTATCCTTTTATATTTAAGCATTCATTTGTTAATTACACAACTGATGTCCCTAACGATAACACTGAAACGTATGTTTGATAGACTATGCGAAATTCGTGTTGGTTTGTAAGTAAATTGGTGAACTTAATTTTTCCAATCATATCGTGTATTCTACGTTTTTGGTGATGTAAAATATTCTGAATGACTAGTTTTAAAAAATAAGGATAACTAACAAAAACTATGCCGTGAAGCCTCAGGGCTTGAAAAAGGCTTTAGTATAGTTCACGGCTATGACTGGCTGGGATTGTCGTACGCGATGCCACACTACGCGAGCAACCTTTAAGTCTACGTTTGTTTTCGCTAGTTCTAATAAACGCTAGCCTAATCACTGTAACTTTTCTTGTTTTCTTTAATGTATTTTGTTTCATTTTTTATTCTGTCTATCCTTGTCTTTTGTGTCACCTGTTTGCAACATATTGCAGTGATTCAGAATCGAGCACGCCGTCGAGAAGCCCTTCGAGTGCTTTTCGTCAGCTCACTCTTGGAATACACGCGAGTCCCACGAAGCTTTCACCCTCCTTAGACGCCGTTAGAGATAAAAGACATCTTACCACCGACGCCGCTGGCAATTTCTCAACGCCCTCGACAAGTCGGAGTCCATGTAAGTCTACTGGTCGGCTTTTGGCTCCTGCATACCCTCGTAACGAAGCGTCGCCGCCCAAAAAAAGACCTCGTCGATGCAAGCTTCAAAAAGGACAAACAACACTGGACAACTTTTTTAAGTCGCCAGGAAAGAAATCCGATTTACCAGTCAAATCCGAACCTTGCTCAAAAAGTGGAGAAAATAAAAAAAATGAAAAGTTATTACCCATCTTAGGCTGGCTTTGTCGCGGGCTTACCTTTGCTACTCCAAGCAACAGCATCGAACAGGATGGTCCCTGCATGTCTCGTAGGGAAATTGTCAGGATCGAGCCCGTTTACGGTGATAAGTAGTTCACATTCACAAATAAACAGAACTGCATATACGTCTATATGCCTACCATGTCAAGAAATAATTCCCTTAACAATGATGAAAGACAGCGACGTGTCACTGGGTTGCAGAGTGTACTACTGAAAAAAAGAAGATAGAACTCGAAAGCTATCGAAAGCAGATCGTACGACGACTAAAGGATATATGCCGTTAGAGAAATGTACAGTATACAAACCACTACTAAGGCAAAACAATTTTTATTGTGCAAACTCTTTTTTCTCAATTTTAAAATTGTGTTCCTTTATAAGCAAAATTAGCAACACTAATACGACGTTAACCTCTTTAGTCACACAAATTCCGTAGGGTTTGTTGGACGTTGACCTGTGTACAATATAGTCTTTAGTTGGAAATCCCACTTTTACGTCGGTAAGCGAGTTTACCGACACCCATTATCTTACGTAAAAAACACAATTTTTTTATTTGTAAGTCGCACATAGACAGTCATACACAGTTATGCACCGGTGAACATATGAAAAAGAAAACATCAAAGGATGTAAATAAAAAGAATAGCGTTAAGATGCTAAACACTTTTGTACCCCGTAATTATGATACAGTAATAATAGTAGACAATACGGTAGGGAAAAGCCAGAAAGTTCAATAAAGATATGAGCTTGTTTTCATCCATCGCTTTTGTTTTTATTATTTCTTTATCTAATAACACTTGTAGGATGATAAATGTCGTTGGCAGGGCTTGAACAAGCGACCCCTGGCTTCCTTCAACCGTTGCTTTTTGTTGCTTTAATTTTTCGTTATTCTTCTGTGTTTATTGAAAACAGATTCGCAGTTTTCGACTGTGTTAAAACTGCCTTCGACGATTTTGGTCATCGAGTCTTATCACTATTTCGGAATAATATTTCGGTAAAATTTTTGTGCGACAACTTTATCAGAAAAATAGATAAAAACGGGTTGCCTAGTCGGAGCTCTTTTTGTCCTTGCCATGTTCATTTTTGCTTTTTTCGTTTTTAGCAATAAACTTCCTAATTACCTGCATGACAATGACAAAGCCACAAAGAATCGGTAGGACATAAATGGCCCTCCAATAAGCAGGAGATGATTGCATAATGACATTACTGAATAGATTTGATGAAAGACCTGTGAGAAGGGCTCCCACAGCCGCGATGTAAATTATGACGCCAGCGATGACGTGGCCCTGCTTGACAATAACGGGCAAGTTCAGGTTCTTCCGGTAGAGCGTCAGAATTCCACCTAACGCTACGCAGATTATACCCAAATTGGCAATTAACCCGAATTTGGAGTGCAGCGAGGTAAAATGCGCTTTTCCAAGTGACTCCTTGTGCTCGTACACGATGAACATTCCTCCTGATATACAGGCTATCGTAATCGTCTGCAACCACCAAGATAAAATTCAATCGAAGTTTCATAAATATTATTAAATTCAACCGAGTTTGCCAAAATAATGTTTCTGGCAAACTCGGTTGAAAATTTGGGTTTGTCTCAAAAAATGATTTCGATCCAGCTGGTCACGCACGTATATAGCTTCGTATTTGGTATATGTGATAATTATTTTTCAGGTTCTTAAGAATATTAGATAGGAATTCGTTAGTTGATGGTGACGAACATTTTTTTTAAGGTCGATGCCACTAACGGCGTGACGATGGCTATTTTTACGCGATTATTTCTAGCTAGTTGACACAAATTTTTATAATAGTATATGTAATAATATATAATTTAGTAATAATTTGGTTCTTACCGCAAGCAACCAATGAAAAGTGACAGCTCTAATAGGAAGCCAATCTCGAAGGGGATTCGATTTGTTGAATATCTGTATTGCTTCAAACATTAACAGGCTGTACTGAAATCGTGAATGACGGGGCATATACATTAGCATATGTCTCGAATTATATGTATTTAAGGAAATAATGTTTAACACAGAAGAACACGTAGATATTGACAAAAATCGGACCATTTTTTGGGACGAACCATACATCGGGCGTACAGGTATACTGCAATATGATAAACATTGACGAGTCCTTATTTCTTTGATAACTGTAACCACTATAGAAAAAACTGCGCCAGTGCTTTCGTTAGAGAAAAATATTATAAATTAATACGACAATGAAGAGGTGAAAATTACACAAGAATAACGTTATATTGAAATCTCGTATAAGATCGATAATTTTTAAGCACCAGGGCATTTTGCAAATCTTGCTTTACTTGCTTTTTATGCAACAAGTTGCTTGGAGCTCAAGACTCTCTAAATAAGATCCAGGGGGATAAATGCTGAAAGCAAATGAGCCATGTAATCGTACTGTTCTTAAAATTTCTACACGTAGACTGAGCGATGATTTTTAACAGTTCGTCTGCTGATTAATTAGTTCGACAAAACTATTAGTCGACGATTCAAATTCATTCTTGCTAGGAAACAAGGAATTTTTTCTTAGATCTTAGCATACGACAACAAAGCTTGACAAAACCGAATTCATATTGATACGTTTGTTCCTATACTCTTAGACAGTCTCGATTCATTATCGGTGTGTACGTTTGTCTTAGAAGGAAATCTGCTCTCTGTACTTTTTTGAAGGCAGTTCAAATAAAAGTACGTTAACATTAGTAGCTCAAACACACATCGCAATTTTAACATTTCCACCTGCTGCTACAATTTGATGCCACGTAGTTAAGCTAGTCAGCGTCACCTAAGCCACTATTTGTGAACATTATAAGTGTCCACTCTTACTAACATAAATGCTAGAACTGTTGCTCAATGTTGTAACTTAGACAATGTACTCGAATGCGCTCTCATAAAAGATATGGAATTCATATATAAAATATAAGTGTTCATGCTCAATTGCCGTTGGATCTATCCACCCATTAAGTAGTTCTTGTTTTGACAGAAAAAGTCCAACGTTAGAGAATGTGCCATTTTTTTCGAGTAATTTCTGTTTTAAGTTATTCTTTATTGCTCACAGAAACTAATCGCAGATGATGAGATTATTCATAAACTATTAAAAATCATCTTTTAAAACTTCCGACGACTGTGGCTCATGGCTAGCCTATTCCGACTTTCGTGATAATTTATATTTGAACACATATGAAGTCAGCTATTATCGCAGTAGAATTATATTGTCACCTGCGTAATACTTACTGCGATCGTCATGAGCACGGGGTGAAAGGCAAAGAAAGCTGAAATTTTCACATAGAATACCTCTTTTTAGGTTCTATTCAATTTCTATGTACGGGCAAAAATATATACACAGCTACATATCTAAGCACGGTGCTTTAGAGTCCAGTAAAATAATTGAACGCATTCATATCGATCGCTATATAAACATCAGACTTACATGAACCGGGTTCGGCATTGTAGATTAGAAATCCCGTGAATCCAAAGGCTAGGGAAGAGGCCACAGACATCTTGGCTTTGTTTCGTGATCTGGAGATTTACGAGCACTACTTTTTTTTCAACAAAGTTCTGTAATAAGCCGACGACGATAACGAATCAAATAGTAATGTTAAATTCTGATATGAGGTGAAATATATGCCTCAGTATAGATAAATCCGGCAATTTTTCGGAACCAGGACTTGGTATTTTCAGTGTATTGCAGGAAACGTAAGCTAAAAGTTACCACAGCCAATAAAAACTGAAACGAAAGGAACTAGGAAAATCTCTTGTGCAGCTTGCTTACAGCTGCTAAACACAACGAGGCTCTTTTTCCGACTGTTTGCTCTAAGTACAAGTGTCTAGTTCACGTAAAAATTAACATACTCCTTTAGCGTTTCACGCACAACAAATGCAATGCAAGAGTATTATTACAAAATGTTTAAGCCCTTAGTTTTTACAGTCTTAAGTTTGAGTACCTTGCAGCAAGCATATTATCTATAATCATAATGCCCCATTGGGCTTCATTTAATTCATAATACGTTTTTACATATAAAAAATAAACTATTATACTATACGCATGAAACTTTTTCCACCAACTCCGAACCTACATCAGAACATTTTATTGAATGCATTCACCATGCAATATCAACAACACATGTATATATTACAAGACTTTCAAAAATGTCGTTCGGCCGTTGCAATAACGTGGTGTCCTCATGTAACCGTGCTCTTGTCATTTCTAAGCGAACGTGACCTCCCTCTCCCTCTCAGTAGATTCCTTAATAAGTTAGCTCGCCGGCAATATGCAAACGTACAAAGATGCACACAAGCGACCCAATAAACTCACCTAAGTCCCAGACTACAGCTGGACATTCCCACTACACTATAATCGACCAGCAACAAAATTTTTATTCCGAGTTCACTTTGTATGTGTACAAAATGCAAGTAATGCACTGTTATAATACGTCCAGTTCTGACGTGCGTTCGCAGACAGGGGGGGCAAAGCGAATCTTGGCAATCAGCAGTAAATGTTCGTAGAATTCGCGTCAAAAATTACTCTCTCAGTTCGAACTGTATGGAGGCGCCGCTATTAATAATCACAGTCACGACGAGGCGGCTATCAAATCTGGCGGCGATAACACTCTTGACTTGCTGGTATGTAGGATAGCGCAATGTAATGCGATAACAATAGGGACAATAACAACAGCAGCCGCAAACGACTCTACCAATGCACAGCAGACGGTGGAGAAGCAACGCGTCACGTAAGCGGCAAGAAAAATATTGAGCAAGACGTTGATACATACGCAGCCAACGGCGAAAGTTAAAGTTCGTTTGTGTTCGCGCGCACCATTCCAGTCCGCAACATTGCCCAGGTCGTTTAATGGTGCGCGGTTTGGCCTATAATTTACGTTTCGCGACATGCTTGATAAATCGATTAACGTTGACGGATCAACTCACCGTGCAAAATGCAGCCACAGATGTTGTTACTGACGAACCGCAGCAGACGCGATGTGTTGATTTTATTGGAAATCGCAATAGCTCAGAAGGACGATGGATAGTAGACTGCGTATGCTACTAGACAATTTCTTGGACGATGGGACGGCGTGAATCTTTCGTTAATCAGTTCTGTAATCCTCTGTTCTGTAACTTTCACATTCGGTACTGTCTTAATTGACCATTGCTTGTAAACAGGAACGCTTTCTTTTACTTCTAGCGTGGCTATGCCTGGTTTCCATGATCATTTCATTTATCCTCAAGTTTTATAGGCCATCACGAAGACTGCTCAGAGAACTATTTACACACAGAAAAACCATAATACGCACACAAATTTAGGACCGTGTTTTTTTTTTGCTCACTCGAACAACATCAGCCACCTCTGTAGCAAAGTCATACTTCATATTAAACAAGCGCCAACGTAGCTATTATTATGTGGCTTAGTGATACGCGCCGATCGCTATGAAGCCCTGTCCTTATTATTGTTATTATTCGACCCGAACCAACTCAGCTGGTTGTTGTTTGCTTTAGCCGTCAGCTGCTTACAGATAATCGCTCCAGCGAGGCGTCGCGACGCATCTGGCGCGCTTCCGCTAGCAGTTGTCACGGAACTTAAACTTCGAATTCTAGTCGGCTAGTAGACTCTAGGAGGAAGTTATAAGGAAAACGGCTAACAAAGAGAGATATCAAAAACAAGTGTTTAAACATGAAGTTTCCAAAACACACCGATTGTAAAAGGACCTATATGGAATAATGTAAGAAAAAGGATCACTGTTATTACTGCGTGACAAAACGCTGAATACTAACCTTTCTATGATAGTTTGATTCACACAAATTGTTTATGTTAGAAAATTACAAGATATATTGTAAGAAGGTGGGTAATAATTCCGTTGATGAGAGAAATCAAGTGATTTGGATGTAGAAATAATAAAAGTTGTATGTATTTAAAGATCATGTACTTTTATTCGATACGTGAAATTCTTTTGACAAACAAGATTTGAAATTTTGTCGATTATCAGTACATACTTTAATGATTGATGGTAACTCAACGGAGATAATGCCCACTGCAGCAGTTTTTGCTATGGAAATACGTGGTAAATGAACCAACCCACAGAGATTCAAATTTATTCGAGTATTGAGCGCATACTTCAAACCAGGCATATTAATAACCATAATCGTCTTTCTCATAAACTAACTTTAAAATAAGATATATAGATTACTTGACTCAGTAAATCTGTGGGCACATTTACGCACTTATATATAATTAATTGCTTAATTAATTATATAATCGAGCTTTATTATTCAGAAAAACTCTCTACCGCATTCTTATACCCAAAACCCCTCTGGTTTCCTGGCCATATAGTCGATACATTTTTTAAAATAAATACACGTATATTCAAGAAGATCCATCAGTTTGGTTGCGTAAAATAAAAGACACCATAATAAATAAATAAATAAAAATAAAAAACAGGAAAAACCAAGCAACCTTTCGTACTATTTAAGAAGATCCATACTGTTTAAGCGATTGCCATCATTTAACTTTATCATTAAAGTAAACTAATTCACGAAGGCGGTCATCGGTGAGTTTAATAGTTCAGTAAAAATACAGATTTTAAAAACTACAAAAAACCCTTAATGCTGAATTTAGCGGTTATCGAGCGAACACTGTTCGAAAAATATGAATACGACGTTTAATTATGTCGGTTATGCTCACAATAAAAGTACATTAGTCTCACATGCTTCCCATAATCTGAACGAACGTAAGTAAATTTAAATGAAGTTCTTCTAAGAATTAATGCTTTAGAATTGAGAAGGTAGCCCCGGTGTTTGAAAAAGCCCTGCGCGCCGCCAATAGAAAGTAAGATCATTATAGTATTAGATAGAATACTTCGATGCTTCAGCCGGATATCAGTGATGATCTGAGACGTGTATCTATGTAGCACCTTACCACTACCAAGTTTCTTCTACCAAGGGTTTTCTAACATAAAACTCTAAGAGTTTTATGTTAGAAAACCCATTACATTACGGTCGGTGACTAGGCCCCAGCATAAAACTTATTGTCTATTTTTGGTTTCTTGAATACATGTCGCATGTGTCTTTAAAATTCAAAAGCCGATATTCTGCAAATATACAGTTAGAGTCTTATGATAGGTACTCTGATTAACAATTGCTTCAAATAGCTGGCCTTTTGACAACTTAAGACAAGTTCCTAACTAGGATTATTTCTGTAGTTTTAGAAGCGTGTTTCGGCGTTCTGGCTAAGGCCAAGAACCACTTTTTCGCCAAAGTGTCATATATAAAAACGAGAACCAGAATTCACGTACTCACGGCCATCCATCTTCGATATAGCAAAGAAAACTTCAATTCGCTGCGAACCTACACCGAGTTATGGGGCAATTTCTGTCTGCGTATGCATGCATATTCTATCACTGTATGCAAGAAAAGTACTACTTAAGACGAACGAAATTCAAACTAAATAATTTTCTTATATCTACAAAAATCACGGAAGTTCTGCCTTTTGAATGGTCTTAATCTTTATTCCACAGTTTACTACAGTGTTTGCAAATAGAAACATGAAGTTTTGGTGGCACATAACTTTACGGAGGGAACTCTAAGTGACGGTATAGAAAACAGAATAGTTTATAATCCGACCAATGTCGCTTCACCAACAGCTCTCGAAATGAGACCACAAGGATCACGATTTTTAATATTTCTAACACTAATCAGGTACTATATTGTTAAGTAAGAGTTACCCCGACCGACATATGCCAGGAACTGTTCACGCGTTTGTTGTTAGCTAAACATTAAATTTTTTTTCCAACGATCACTTGTGTTTAGCGGAAAAACGACAACCTTTTCTGAGCTCAATTTTGGGTGGTGCACTGAAATAACGTTTTTAAACTTCAGCCAACGACCCCGCAAAAGCTAGGCCATATTTTTACCCTGTACATGTAGCTAATCATTTAGGTGTAGTATTTTCGAACTTGTACGAACGAAGCTGTATTGATGCTCCAATCACGCTTTCTACTTGGTTCAGTGGTTATCGCAAAGATATAAACACCATCATAATATGGCAACGACTCTGCGAACGTGTCCTTTCACGATTGTCATTGCTTCAAAACGGGATGCATCAGTCCAAATCGAACCCGAACAAAGTTTTATTTAATAAACGAAAACCTTTATTACTTATTTAAAGATACGAATAATGTTTGATATTGTAATCTGCTAGAACTTTACGTGAAGCGGAAAGCGTGCATGTGCACGTCTTATCCATGCTTACACTTTTTTTACCTATTATCCATGATATAAATTATAAAAACAATATACATAACAAAATATCTACATTAAGGAAATATACGTACATACTGCTTGAAAGAAAGCCTTGCTAACCGCTATGGTATTGATGGCACCGGTGGAAGCCGTCAAAGACTTTTTTGTATGACTGCTGAATGTACTTTATCTAATACAAAGTTTTCAATTTATTGTTTGTTATATATGGTATTCTAGACTCAAGTCGGTAAACAAAAATGTACAAGCAAAGAATAATCTGACGGGTGTAGCATGCATGGATACTTTCCATCTTTCAAACACCTGTCCTTCTATAGGGCTTGCGGAATATGCATACGGGTTTAACCAAGGCAAGTTGGGTGGGTCGCAAATAGTAAGCCCGTCAACGTCTTGGAAGGCCGCCGTTTTAACCGCTAAACCGACGCCACAGCACGAATTATTAATTCCATTTTGTTTCTAGTAAGTAAGCACAGAGAGACATCGCGGCTCTAACAGGAGAATTCAAATGTATTAGGTTTTTCAAATTTTTCACTTCTAACAATATCCCTTATCTCACGGTTTTAAGGTGCTTCAGTGACTAATAAGTAGAAAAATACACCAGCACATAGAAAAAAAAGCTATCTAGTTAGCTTATTATTTTGTTAGTGGATAGATCTGTATGTATGTTGCCCTAGGATTTCTCCCAAAGGATAGGAAATCAGCCATCTAAAGATAAGTCCCCTGAAGAAACCCTTCGCTAGACGCGATAAATCCAACCGGTTCTTAGGCATTGTCTTCGCGGCGGAAATTATTTAAAGTCACGTTATCGCTAATGGGAGTTAGTGTAAAGCATTAGGAGCTTTGCCCGGTGTCTTATATATATGACGCTTATTTTGCTTATTTCTCCTGACTCTGTATCTCTTGAGACTTTAGATCCGAAATGAATTAGTTAGCGTCAACCATCGCAGTTTTTCTCTGCAGTTACGAAGATTGACTTGTCTCAGATGAAGTAATATTTTGCTATCATACATAGCTCATCGCGTGTGTATATCGCTTCTATAATGAATAGCTAACTAGACGCTAAAAGCGCTTCTACAGAAAGCTACGGGAGCACCTGGATCGTCACATCCTTGATGGGATCTTATCTTGTCGAACAACCCTCGTCGGTGCAACGATTTACAAAAGAGGGCATTTGTCCGTGGAATCATCTAGGTAAGGCTAGCTAGCCAGAGGTAAAGTGGAGAAGTGCTTGCCGTCGATATGGTCACACATGCTTGCATACACGTGAAGGTTCATACCGACATACACACATACGTAGAATACTAAGGATAAACATAGACGGGCGTGGGGGTGGGGCGGATGAGCCAAGCGGTCACGGTCAGCGTTGAAGAACGCTTTGATAGGTTATAGAGAGATACTGACCTTGACGCTGAAACAAACCGTAGAGACTCATTGGACGCTACCGGTGCAGGTGTGGCTGAGATAATCTGATTAGTAAAAATTAGTAGCTATAGATTGTTATTTTAATAATTGCATGTCGACATAATGGGAAGTAATCGGCTGAAGCAGTTACACAGTCTAGGAATATGATGCGAAAATTACACTGGCCTACGTAGTCGTTTTCGTTCTGCACATGTTTGATTGATGTTTATTCGTGCCTGAAGTCACTTTAGGCTATCTCCAAATGTTATCAGAGTGTTTATGTTTGAGATAGGTATATTACCAACATCATTAAAACAAGAAGTTCTGTTCTGACTTCACTCTTGCTTCTGCTTGCGTTTTTCGATCTCATGTTCAAGATTCGCCTTTTTTGTAAACGTTCTCATTTAGAACGCGGGTTTTTCCGATATCCGGACGTACGGTTGCCATCACTTTCCCTATACAACGCTCTACCTGTAACTCAATATATTCCAGTAATCTTAGCTGAATGGATGTCAATGAACACCTTACATTTGGGACAATATGAATATAAGATCGTTTGCTATTACAAGACTATCCTCGAGGAAGACTGTATATATGAGGATTTTTAAAAAAACGCTTAACTAATTATGTAAAATAATATGGCCATTGAAATGTAGATTATTCAGAAAATACTTTTGGAGTATTCTCAATAAAGCTTGTTCAGAACATAAGACAGTAATTACAAAAGATGCCGTAATAATCCTATAGTAGCATTTCATTTTTTTGAAATTGGCGGAGTAGCGCAGCTTGCTAAAAATTTAAAACAGCCTGAGATGGGTTTTTAATTGAAAAACATTAAGCACTCTCAGTTGCATGCAAAAGGGTACGCTGGGATACGACGCGTATTTCTGCAGGAAACAGGTTAAGTCAGGACGTTAAACGTATATATAGCGTCAATCCTCATCTACAATTCGATATACCGTGAATTATTAACAAGTGTCATATACTATGGCCTTATAAAAAAACTCACTGTTAAGTAGTCCGTGAAAAGTAGCGATCATCCAGTGTACAGGGTAAATTGTTATGATTTATTGAAATGGCAAATCTGCATAAATAGTTTTTTTTCGATCACAATAACTAGGCGAACTGACTAGGAGTCCGTTTACGCCATATCGAATGGCGCTCCTTAATGCACTGCGGACATACTTCTATGCACGCTTATGAATCAAATTTTTTTGTTTTTGGCGCGACGTACTCTATTTTCGCATACGTGCGTTGCATCTGTCGTAATAATCATGCTTCTTAACCTCAGTAATGAAATAGGACATGTCAAACGAGTCTTTCCCACATTATATGGACACATCGAATTGGGCAGCGGTCCGTCTCACAGTAGCTGCGAGGCAACCAACGGTGGACACGTTTAAGTTGCAGTGTTTGTACCGCTGAACAGTTCTTATCCGGCATAGATATCCCACTTGTCTCATTTTTGTTTCGGCTGATTATTTATACTTATTCATGTATGATTGTTAATTGATGGGTGGATAGGAGAACAGCCTGCATAAAGAGGCGCTACTCGTTCTGCGAAATACACGTTTTTCCATAAAAATCCGAGAAAATGGGCTTTACTTCAGATGAAACAGACTTGTTACGCCGCGTCGTACCCTCGCGAGAAGTTGAGTTTCAGGACCCTACCAGGTTCGACGCATACAATGCATTCTTCTACGTGTTTTTACATGGTACAGAGGAAGAACAAACTTATGCCCTACGAATGCTATCGTCGGAACCGCTCGAACGTCAGAGCCAGGTTTGGTTTATTGATAACGGATGTGTGTCGTGTTTGATTCGGTATGCGTCGCAATCGAGGGTTTCGCCTGTGTCTCGTGAATTGGCCTTGCGGCTGTTGATGTCGGTAACCTTCGAGCTGAGTGTTGGCCTGCCGTACCCCACCGACCTTGGAAACAACCATTTTCAACAGCTCGGCTCGATACTGCGGAAGTATCCAGCAAATGCATTTCACATATTATGGATTCTCTATGAGCTGACCAAATTTGAACTGGGCCGGAGGGGCGTTATGGGTGCAGGTATCCATGACACCCTAGGGAAAATTGTCTTGTCGCAGGTAAACAGCAGGATAATTGCCGCGGCATTGTATCTTCTCTGTGACCTGGCTGGCGATGAGGCTTGTGTTGACACGCTAATTAAGCTGAACGTGTTCAGAATGTTTAGAGTATCTCTTCATCACTACCTGAGTCGGAACGTGTTCAACGCGGATTTTTATACGATTAGTCAGGATAGTAAGGATATAAGGTTCATGTGGAGGTTTGTGACTTGTGATGGAAATCAGCGTATGAAATTCCAGGATGTAGATCTGGTCGCTGCCTATTACCGGCTCAACAAATCTTTACCGATCGCATGGATCGAGGTAAAAAAACCGTGGTTTGAACTAATCCTGACGCTGATTCAACATCCTACTGTCATAGAGCGCGCAGCGCACCTAGGGCAGTACGTCTTCGTTTGTCTAAAGGTGAATAAGGATTAAAAAAACTTATTGATAATCTGCTTATGGAGTCAAAACAAAAGCAAAATAAAGATCAGTTGGCACGTTATATTACATCGAGTAGCACTCGGGTGATGAAAAATATCTTACCGTGTTATTCTTGTATATTTGTGTATCGTTTTCAGTCTGTTCTACTATTAGCGACCGATGGAAACGTGATGCGACTTATAGAAATTGTGTCGAACCTCGTTCAAGCGCGGCACGAGGAAGCACTCAAATGGATTTTTAATAAAGGCTTGATTAAAATCATCTTACTGCGATATCCTTGGCGAAAATTCACAGACTGTCCATCGAATACGCAGCAGATTATGGAGGAGGTGCTTCTGCTGATTCTCAAAGTATTCGATACACTTCCACACACAATATACGCACAATATGAATCACCAGAAAAACTAAGGCTTGATTACGAGCTCGATACCGTTTTCCATATTCAGTGGCCAAATCGAATAAAAGACAGTCTAACGAACATCTGCACACATCTGAATCTAGTTATCTCTGACTAGTCGCTGCCAAGCCTCATGGCTGCAAAAACAGCTATACTGTAAACAGTAACGGCACTAAAAAAAAAAAAACATCGCTGTGTTTACCAGATCATTTTTTTGCATCTCGATGTAACGAAAACGTGACAAAATCACAACTTTTTAATGTCAGTTCTGCATCGATCATGCGGAATCGTGTATATCAGTAAACATTTTTTTTTTTTAACAACAATATTACAATTACACCTTAGCTTACTTACAATGAATAACATCCTTCAAGATACCGGCAGAAGCTGGGGTGGGTGGCGAACAAGCTAGTTTCTCGCCATTAAGGAGATTTCATACTGAGGCAAGTTTATTAAATTCACGCTTACATTTAAACGTTTGCAAGGATGCTGTGTAAAGCATTTGAAAACTAGCCAATAATTGCCGCTCATATTTGAAGTACGGCATTTGTGATTAGCGCCGTAAAACTCACCTGTCATAATTAACTTACAGTATTATATTTCTGAAAGATCCTGTTTTACTGTATTACTAAAAAAAATAATTGTATGGCCCACGCTTTTTATTGCTATTACATTAAAGGCTAGAATATACTGATAAATAAAAAAACAAAAGTGTGTATTAATTTAGATGACTCGAGGTTGTCTTTCTTTACAGTACGCGGTATAATTAGTTGTTCTCTTATATGGGACAAGCACAAGCTTATATTTTGCTCGTGTGCATCTGATTAGGGGCAATATTCTCGTAGAAAAGCCGTAACAGGCATTTGAGCAAACATGTTCACGATGTATTTGGAAGAATGTGTCGTATGGTTTTTTCAATCTTGAAACACAGATGTAAACTACTCGAAGAGGTGAACTATCGCAGAATTATTTGTCTATGTTCACCAGTTGAAAAACAATCATAATACGCATTTGTTAAATAAATAAAATAAAAGCACAGTAGTTAGAACACCTTCTCGGTAGGGTCTGTTCAATGTTTTGCTTGTCGCCTTCACTAAAAAGGCTAATATTTCTGACCCGTCTGCTTTGCATTGAATGGCCGGAAACAATAGCGCAGCTCCGGACATACGAATGTGCGTAATGGTGACCTATCAATGTTCTGCCATCTGTCCTTGTCTTGGATTGAAGATTATTGTATGAAAAGTTTGCCAACGTCTCAAATTTGCCGTCGTTTTTTACAACGTTTGTGAATCCCCTATGCGTAGGAAAGTTTTGGTCAAATTGAATGAAGATTAGACAATTTTTTCGACTGAATTTTTACAACTATAATGGACAAGGTATTACTAAATAGATAATTTGTAAGGGATGCAAAAGATGATCAAATTGACCTTCACAATTTGATGTCGTGCTACAGTTAGTTCTTTGTTCTGCGTTGTTCGTAATTAACGGTGCTAATTATTTTTACCCTTATACTTCAAGCGTTACGTCTGGTCTCGCCCTTAAATATTTCATTCGATGGCTGGCTCCCGGCATGAAATAAAGTGTATCTATTCCTATTCTATTTAAGTCTAGATTACAGTGTCCCTAAGATTAGCAGGCAAATATCAAACTAAGCCATCATGGGGGCATTTTCACCTGACTGCGCTAGTAATACGGACTGTCGGCATTTAAAGGATCGATGTATTTCGCAAACGACTTACAAATAGTTTTTCTGCCTGCTTGGTTGTCCTGTTCTTTCAGCTCGTCTCAGTACCGTAGGACGATGTGGCACGGTGTCATATCGAAGCCTTTTGCACTAGTTTCCACTTCACTCACTGCCTGCCTGCTACACATTTTTTCGATACGTGCTTCGCTTAAGTCTTTAATATACACTTTGTGTGTTGTTAGGTATTGAATCTAAGGGTTGTCTTTGTCAAGTACGTCTTCTAAATCTTGAATTACCAAAGGCTAGAAAATTCCGGGCGATTTAAAACTTGTAGGCAGTGTTCTCTGGATCTATGAAACAATTCTAATGAAACAGGGATAGCCGCTTGTTACGTGGCATTAGTAATCCGATTCTATGACTAACAACGCTTTGTATAATTAATTAAGGATTGTACATGATTTTAGAACGATATCACACTCACAAATGAGATTATCTGAAAATAAAAACAATCGTATTTTCTGATGTTTTTTTGTTGTTCGTGTATTTCCAGTTAGCTACTAGGCAGCTTTATATCATTCAGTCTAATTTTTCCTTGCTCACGATAGTTGCCCCTCTTGTTTCTATAAGGTATGTTTTACAATAACGGTAAATTTTCTTCTTAACGACAAATCCTGCCAACATATTTTCAAATCTTGAGTGATAATTTTCTTTGCCAGATAATTTGAACAAAATTTGCCTTACATCTTATGTTAAACGCAAGCCATGATAACATGATAGCCGCCGTCGCTGGTGTTTCGACCGTCGTCACGGCCTTACGTGCAAAATAAACAAGAAGTTTTTCCGTCAATCAAATTAAGGTTACGCTTTCTACGAGAAACCAAACTTTTCCCTCTAGCAGCAAGAGTACTTGTTCATTCGACTCCATCTTTTACTCAGGCACTTTCCTATAATACACGTCGAATAAACTTAGCCTAATTCACGTAACCCACTTCGAAGGATAGACTGGAGTCAGGCAAACCTACTGCTCGAAGTCTTTAGTAGTAAATATATATATACATAATGAGATTTGTCATTCTGTGTTAATATGAACGTAAATCGTAGTTAGCAACGAAATATTGTTAAAGTGCCCAGTACCTATGCTCTATAGTGTTATTGTGTTAGTTTTTTGCTCTAAATTGGCAACTAAAAGTCGTATTTAAAATGGAAAGTAAGACTTTATTTACTTCAGTACCTGCATTGTGCAACTTCATGGTTTAGGCAATCTTAAGCTCACGACAGAATTTTCACCACAGCAACATGCCATGCTATTCCATGTGAACGAGAATTTATCATGACGGCCATATTGGCTTGTAGCTAGAGAATGAACAAGTTGATATAAGTTAAGGAAATAGGAAACCTATTATTTACGTTCAACGTAATGTTTTGAAACTGGCACACAGTAAGCAGTTGCACGCTACTATAAAATATCATGCTTGTTTATTTTAAGCATATTTAAATCTATAATTTGCATTTTACCTATGCACAGATACTCGAGCAATATCATAGGAGATACTGGCATCCAAATGCCTATAGAGTCGTATCGGCCACTCGAAAAGATATAATGCAATGCCATGTACGGTTTTTTTTAATAAAAAAAAGAGTGTTCAATGGACAGCAGAATTACAATAGAGAATATTCACCTTTATTTTAAAACAACTTGTTTAAAAAAGCGGTCTAGTGACACCTACTTCTTTTATGTTCGCAGAAGCAATTTTTGTTCCTACACCGTTAAATAGCTAGTAGGAAGAACTCAATCGCATCCATCAACGTCTGTCGCTTTAAGTTTGCAGTCTGGTTTTAAACTTAGCCAGTTAGGCTTACTTAGTTATCCATCTTACTAGGTGACTACTATTGTATACAAAGATGACTATTATGTAAAAGATATATTAAGTATATTGCAAAAAGTAACTTACGTTACATTCCATCCATCAACGACTATTAATATTGTTTTTTTTTCTGTGCGTATGCGTACGAGCTTTTAAGAAGAGTTGTATAAGATTGAAATCAAAAACAAATGTATGCATAGGCCACTTTGGAAGACAAAATCTAACAGTTAAGTCGGCAAATAGAAGATGAAAATTACTAAAAAGCGCTTACGCACTGTTTAAAAAATTGTATATCTTATTTGTATCGGTACTGCTTCGCTAAATACAATCGAGCTTTTATTTTCAGCGCGCATTCGAGGTTATCTAGTTCCTGTTAGTATCGGGTCTTTATACAACACTTTCATGTTCCGTAGTAAGTCATGATCGCACTCTCTCAAAGGACAAATTTTTGAAGACAAGCAAATATTTTGAACATCTTTATTTGCATACTAGGCTGTACTTATGATACTTGCTTTTTGTTCCTGAAAAGCAAACTAATTGTTAATTTTTACGGAAATTTTCTTCTATCAGAGAGTGTTTCCGCTATAAAAAGGCAGTGAGAAAAAGCTGGTGGGATCGCGCGTCTAGTTAAATGGCTGTGAGATCGAGCGCGCGCAACCCACGGTAGCAGACCGTAGAGGGCAATTGCAAGGCATTCCATATTGAGGGCAAAGAGGAAAATGTTTAAAGCAATATTTCAAGCGCTATTTGAATTGGAATAGTGATCGAAATAACAAAGCCATTTGCTATTACCATTGCCAGTGCCAAATAAATACCTATACATCATTTCACAGCTAAAAAAGTATACACTATTTAAATTGGCATTTTTCCATATTCGCTTATAGCCAAGGAGTAAGTACGTTTGGTTATTTATTGGTGGGACCTTAGGAGTTCATGTTAGACTATCCTATCAGAAAAAAACGGTCTATGGCAGTATATTATTACAACATTGCAAAATATACGATCAAAGTGAGACTAAGGCTTTCTCCGTTATCCATACTTTTGCCTATATGCTTCAGGTCACCTTTCGATAAGGCCAAGGTTACTGCCCACGGTCTTGATTTTTCTCTCATCATTAGGTCTCATTTAGAGCCGATTGATTGGCGATGATACTCCAATCCTTCAAGTTTCGCTGGCGGATTATGGGAAAACTTTAATTGATTGCGCAAAACATTCAAGAGTTACAGCGCAACGTTGTTAAAGACTGTATTGAAAAGAAAGCAAGTTTTCTTGACTTGTGAGAGTGAGACAGACGAACGAATTTTTTGGGTGGCTAGTAGACTAACCTAATTACCTAAGCGCCAACTTCGCCAATACGACTCTCCTACGACAACTACGACGACGGCAATGCGAACATTAGTCCCATATGTAGCTTGAATGAACGAGAATTCTATTTCATGCTGGTACATGGTTGCTGCGTACGGTAGGTGAAGCATCTGATTGCATACCATTGACAGCAAGCTATCCACTATCTCTGATAGCCACAAATCTCTACGAAGTCGAATGGGAGAATAGATAGTACTATGCGCTCTATACTTTGCTCAGAACTTTATAAATTTATAATTTATTTGGTCTGAAAGAGTCGACTTTATCTGGCAAAAATTACAACACTATAGACACTATATACCTTTGGCAGTATTTACTTGTTAACGACAATTTACATCTACACAGTCCATCTTACCAGACGTGACTTTCACACTATTTTACATAGTTCATACATTTACATGTACAAACATTGTTACGAAACGTATCATACAGAAACTGCTACGCAAGTTGCCGATGATTGAACTACTTCTACTGGCAAGATCTACTGAAGTGGCCACCCTCACTGAACCTAACGCATAACAATAAAGCAACATATTTGCGTATATGATACCAACAGGTGTACACTAATGTCATAACATCTTTTGAAGTCCCTTATAAAGCAAAGTCGTACATGGCAAAAAACAAATTTTATATAGAGCTACTTAACATATGTATGTAAGCACAGAGACTGTCTGCGTAATCTTATTCCCCGTCAGTATGTAAGAAGCATGCAAAAAGCTGGATCATAACGGGTTGACAACTGCTTTTAACACCAGAGGTCGCTGCAGTA